AATCTCACCTAAAAATTTGGTAATGACTGTTTTAGGATTTTTATAAAACATTTATTTTAGCCACCAACCTCTGCCCCTCCACACACACACTTGTTTATGCTTGTTCCTTTTCTTATATGAAGAGACTTATCATCTGGATAAGAGATAATACCTGAATTGTATATTTTACACATTTGATGAATGCAGCAAAATGACACACACATGGGTCATTTTTGTTTCCTTAATTTTAGAGAAAGGGATTGCTGTGGGTCTTAGATATTTTCTATAAAGTGTATGAAGAATTATCATAATGTATGTTAAGTATTTGGGTATGTATGTTTTTAGCTGTCAATATATATACATAATTTCTAGTTGATAGGTTATTATGAATTTCTATGTTGTCTTCTTCTTTTCAGTTAAAGACTGACGTATAACTTTATTCCATTGCTGCTGAACCAGGCAATTATCTGCCAATTTCGCTGCCTCTTGTTATTGCATTTGTGAAGAATGTCTTCAAATGGTCATTCAGATTGGAGAAAAATAATGGAGGTTATTGTGCGGCCAAATTACTTAATTTCTGTTTCTATTGAATGTTACTTATTCATTACCTATCTGATTCACAAAATGTAAAGAAGCCAATCACCCCCACCACATTCAGTACCTTATTTAACTGTTGTAAAAGAGTTCTCTGAATATATTTCCAGTCAGAGAGTCGTGTGGCTCATGATTTGGCAACTTTTATATAATTGCATGGGTATTAATAATAAATTACTTTATAACACAAAGAATTTACAGAAGCTACATAAGCAATTGACACTTAGCTATTTTATAAAGAGTTTATTTGAGCAGTAATTTTTCATTTCTTCAAGTTTGGTCTTTAACCAGAGTTTCTATAAATGAAAGATTTTATTGCTTTTTGGTGAAAATTAGAATATAAGACTTTGATAATTGCTTACGAAAACTGAAAGTACTCGGACAATTTGTATTTAAAATTTAAGACAATGATTTGAAATATAGTAAAAAAAACAATATCCTTAACAAAATCTTTTCTTTGCCTTTTAATCAAGCTTTTATAACAGTGTTTCACAGAAAATAAATTCACTTTTACAGTCAAATTCTTTTATGAGTAGATGAAATATCTGCAGAACACGGAGTAGGGATAAGTGACCATTTGATTTATTATGTTATATATAATATATATATATATATATATATATATATATATAATAGTTTTAAAGTATGCTGTATTTATGGGTAAAAGTGCTCAATATCAGAGATAACACACATGTAAATATAAAAGTTAACACCAAGCAGTGACAGTCTGTTTCATGCTTCAATGCAATCTTCAAGCCATGATGATTGCATTGAAGCATGAATCAGTTATTTTGCTTGGTGTTGAATTCAATGTCCAATTATTTATATATATCTTGGTTTCAAATTAACACATCATTCTTCATATAACTTCAATTTAATGTCATAGGTTAATATCTGAATTTGATTTTATAAAACCTTTTCCCTTTAAGGCTAATACCTTCCACCCTCCCCTGACCACTGTCTCGTGCTTTTCGTCTGACTGAAACATTGAAATGGATAAATTCAGTATCAATTTTTCAACAGCTGTCACAATTAAATTTCTAATTCCATGACAAACTCAGCCTTTATAGTGGGGTTGATTAAAACTGACAAAGTTTTTGTCAGTTGAAATAGGTTGATCCCCCATATGAGGTAATTTTGTATTTCTTTATGTACTACTATTTATTTGCTCTGTGATAATAAATACATTGAGTTCTTTTTGTGGATCAGTTTTAATATTTTATATTACTAGGATCCACTTGGATTGTATACCAATGGATTTATTACCTTTACTATATATATGAAAATTTCTCGGACATTCAGGCCAATAAATGTTGTTTAATACTGTTTATTAAAACAGAATTTACTTAAATATTGTATCTATAAAAAGAATGTATAAACATAAAAATGTCTTAAAATATATATATATATTTGTACTTCTTCTTCAGCATCTTTCCATGAACCATTTCCCTGTGGAACTGATTCAATTCGTTACAATCTTCACTTCTTCAAAATTAGAATTAACCATTATCTTCCACGCATATCCACATAAGCCGTGTCTCTTACTCTGCTAGAAAATGTCTATTGTCTATGTTTTTGAATTTTTATATATATAATTACTGAATAGATTGATACTGTTATATTGAGCATGACTTTTAGATGCTCTAGAAAGTTTCAAACCCTGTTTATAAGATAAAAAGAAAGTTAAGAATTTTAGTTCAAATTGATTCTTGGTTGCTAGAATAATGGATCTTCAGCAGGGTTAACTGGCATTGCTTAGTAAAAAAAATAAAAAAAAAAAAAGCTTGACCTTTCTGTTGACTTCGATTTGTAATAATCAGTGAAGATCTGACGATCTAAAAACATGAGGACAAGGTCAAGACAAATGCATTAATCCATTGAACTTGTGGCTCATTTTTTTTTACCACTCAACAAGTGATTAATTACTAGTAAATAGATAGGTGAATGTACCTGACTTTTAAAGTTTGCAAAATAGCTGTTCTGTACCCTTAGGAATAAGGTAAATCCAATGATTGCATTCTCTGTTTACCTATTTCTGCAAATAAAAACATTTTTTGTCCATACAAAGATGGATTGAGTAATCAATGAAATTCTGTGAGATGTGAATATTGCCACCATTATGTTTGTGTAAAATGAAAATCTGACTCTTAGTAAGACTGGCTTGTCAAAAATAATTAGTCTAACAAGTAGAATAAGACTGTTCATATGAGCAATTTTATACTGGCCATTTGTTACTCTTCACTGCTGATATTTTTGTCTCTTACACCTTGAAGACAAACACCTTCCCTCTACATGTAGTCAAGTAGCGGCTACTACAAGTGGATAGAAAACCTCCATAACTCCCATACATTCTTTCTCATATGCAGCCACAAAAATAACTTTTATAATTAGATGGATAACATTGTAATTAAATTGGCATAATTTGAAACCTTCATTATTGGTTACCATACATTTTAATATAGATTTCAGCCAGAATTGTTGTTTTGAACTTCTTTCCAGGTAGTTAAGTTTGGGATATTCATTTACAATTTTCAGTCACATAGAATTAAAACAAAAAAAATGTTATAATTCTGCACAATAATTATGTATTATGTTGGAATGAGTACATATTTTTTATTGGGTACACCAGAAAGTTTTTGTTTTTGTTTTTGTTTGGGTGTTTTTTTTTTTTTTTTTTTTTTCGGTAGATGGCATTAGAAGCATTCCAACATTCAAAAAGATTGCTTTTGAGTGATTTTTTTTTTTTTTTATTTTTTTTTTAAATGTGAAAATTGAAATATTTTTATTTGAACATTAAAGAGGGGAGACAATAACATTTTTAGCATACTATGCTTTTTTTTTTTTTTTTTTTTTTTTTTTTTAAATTTTAAGAAAGGTAAAAATGCAACTCGGCTAAAAAAAAAAAAAAAGACTGGTGAAATTTATTAAGTAGATAGCAAAAAAGATTTAATATGCCAAAAGTGGTTTGTGAAATTTTCTCACTGGATAATGCTCCATGATTAAATAAATCAGTTGAGGATGATATTAATTGAAACGGAGGACTAATCTGATATTATACAACTTGGTAGGTTGTTATACTTACAATATCCTACCCAAGTGTTGAAAATGTTTTGTATCGATTTGGTTAGATTGTTTTGATGCATGGCTTCCATATAAGTTAAGCAAATTTACTCAACCATTTTTCAGTGAAATGATTTTGTTACTTAAACAAAATGAAAATGTTTTGTTTTTAAAACAAATTGTAATTGATGAAATATGAAATGCAAGAGATCATCTGACAACTTTATCAAAGATGATAACGCTGCCTTTATAGCAGGATTTTTTTTTCCCATTTGAACCCAACCAAAGCAATAAAGCCAGTTGGAAGAGAGTGCCACAAATGAGAAGAATGAGAGAAATTGTTAGCATCAACTTTACGCTCACATCTAGCAGTTTCAACTCTAAAATGATGAAACTTAGCTGCCTCTCTGGTACTGCACCTTTTTTAATCATTTCACCCCATGCAAAGCAGTAAAGCCACTAAGACACAAGGGGTTATTGAGTGTGAAAGAATAAGTAAAATGAGAAACATTAAGGAGCAAGAACAATAGAATAATCAAGAAGACAGAAGATATGATTAACACTGCATTTAAATTTTGAAGATCAAAGTTGGCTAGGAAGTATAGAGCTGGGAGAGTTCCACAAGTAAGAAGTGTGAGAAAAGAAACTATTAGTATAGAATGTATAGTTACATCTGGCCATTTCAACTGTAAAATGATGAAAACTTGCCACCAATCTAGTATTACACTTAAATTCATAAAGTCTAGGTACCATAACAAAGAGTTCCTCTGAACAATTACCATGACAGTATTTATAGAAGTGGTACAGGGAAGCTACATTATGGCAATGGGAAAGGAACTGAAGGTGAGATGCCAGGTTAGGACCAATAACATTGCAGATTCTTCTTTAAATTTTATTAAGAATCTCTAAATACATAGAAGCACGAGACCAGATGTAGCAGCAATATTCAGTGCATTGTTAAGTAGTAGACTTATAAATATGTAAGTTAGATTCTGACAAGAAAAATTGTCCTGTGTAATTCCTGCTTTCTAAAAGACCAATTGAAGATAATAATGAACAGTTTGCATCCCAATTTCATTTAGTGACAAGGTTTCTCATTTCTATATACATGAAATATTCCCTCTTCAGATTACACTTTACTTGGGGTTTTACAGAATTCCCTTAATAGAAAAAATACTAAATTCTCTGGAAGACTACAAAAAGTACCTGAAATAGTTCTTTCTTCAGAAAGATAAAATATTTTGAGAGGATGGACTTATGAATTTGCTTGAAAGATATCAGAAGATCGTGGAGCAAAACTGTAGATATTTTGTCCAATAAAGTTGACATTAAAAAAATATTTATCTTTTTATTTTCTTAATTTCCAGGTTACAAAGAATGTTTGGATCAACAGTATATCCACAGGTGTCTGAGTTTCATGACCAGATGACCTATGCCAGTGAAAACCTCTCACACTTGATTCCCTCCGCAAACATTCCACATCCATGGAACCGAGGTGCTAGTCTTTTACAAGATTTTGTGATGGTCACAGAGTTTTCTGAACTGGAAGGACCTAAACCTTTGGTAAGAAAATATGCACTTATATACAATACCAGAAATTGAACTCGGTACCCACATCCTATAACTTCTCATGTTTGTCAAAATATTTACGTGGGTGCAGGTCAGCTTTGTGTGATTTCAGTATTCACAAACATGTTATAAGGTCAAATAGGAAGAAGATGGTGTAATGACAATTTTCCTAGTGCAGGGATGGGGGGATATTCTTACCTTGAAAATCAGCATTTAAACTCTTAGCTTTTTACTTGCAGTGAAACACCATTGTAGTCATTATAGGAAATGTGTTATTTCAGTTGTGAGGCAGACCCAATTTTGCTCATTTTTTCCTCTTTCTAACAAATTATGAATGTAAGGTACATAGGGAAATTATTAAATAAAAATATTTATAAAGGAGAAATAGATGAGAATGTAAAATTCAAAGGGAGGAGAAAACTGCTTAACAAGTTTGAGCAAATGGATTGAGGAACAAGTACAACAAATACAAAAGAGGGGTGAAAAAGAAATATGAATTCCAAACTGAAAAATGTGGAATTATCAGGGAATTGAAAAACAGTCAATTTTTAAGAAAAATCAGGGAATTTTAGTTTACAAACATTGTTTAAAAATAAATCATAAATGTTATTTATGTGATTATTTGTTTTCTAGGATTGATGAAATTTGAAAAAAAATGTCAACTTTTAATCTTGAATTTGCTTCATGGTTCATGCCAGTGAAAGACATTACCCCCAAAAAGCAAATGAACTATATGCAGCATCTATTGAAAGACAGTTACTCTGAATGTTTAAAATTTAGCAAGGAAAAAAAATCAACTGAAGAACAGAAAGCAAAAGAAAGAAGGCAGATGAACAAATTAAAACAATTATTTAATTATTCGGACTATTAATCCCTCATCTTTCAAAATTCCAACCACCTGAAGAAGGCAGAGCATACAAATGGCTGAAACGTTGTGATGTGTGAGGACAATAGTCCGAAATAAATTTTTAAATTTTTTATACACAGACTTTGAAGACAAGTGTTTAAATTTTGACAAAAAAAATCAATTAAGTGACATTGATTTGGAATATAAGAAAATAATAAACTACCACATTTTATATTTGGATGTTATATATGTATAATGAGAAAGTTTATATTCTACAATGTCTTTTGTCCATTCATCTTTTAGCTGTGTTTTTTAGCACAATTTTTTTATATATATATATATAACACACAACACACACACACACATATATATATATATATATATATATATATATGAGAGAGACACATAGAGATGACCTAATTTTGATGTGGGGAATCAAGAATACATTAAAGAGGCCAACAAACAGCATGAAAAACCTATAAAAGCATTCCTACAGATCCCCTTCCCGAATTTTTGTAAAGGATTAACTAGCTCACTAAACATAATGCTTAACAATCTAATCGAAAGGAAACACACACATGATCCTAAAATACACAAAAGCAACAATCAGGAAGGCGGTTATTTCATTCAACCGCCACATTTCCAAATACATAGACCATTACATACAACCGAAAGGAAGTAAAATCCTACATCAGAGACACAACAGATCTACTGTTAATCATTAGAGAATGCTATTCTAGTGACTTGGACGTTAGGTCACTCTATTCAAACATTAAAAACATCGAAGATAACCGCCCTTCAGGAAGCACTTACTAAAAAAAGAAAACAAGACCCCCCCACCACCACAGAAGTCATCATAAAACTCATGGAGCATGTCCACATTGAATACTTTCAATTCAATGGAAAACACTACAACTCAAATAAGAGGTTGTGCCATGGGCACCATTGCAGCTCCATCATATAAATATTCATGGGAAAATTTGAGGATATCTATCCAAACATTGGTAATTTTTTCTATGCAAGACATATTTTATTTCTTTGTATAAGTGATGACAAACTTTTTTATTAAACACAGTGCATGACTCAATTATTTTCAGTTTTTTAGACACCCACATTTACATAGATGAAAACAGGAAACTACAAACAACACTACACACTAAAATCACCAACAACCACAACTATCTACACTTTAAGTTTTCCCACCCCCGAAACTCCTCAAAGAGAACCTTCCCTATTCACAAGCAATTAGACTCAGAAGGATATGTTCCAACAATGAAGAATTAAATAAACCCATTGAAAATCTAGAGCATCAATTCACAACATGTGGCTATGAACAACACCTAATCAGGGAACAAATAAATAAAGCAATTTCCACACCTAGAGAAGACACCCTAATATACAAGATTAAAAATAGATCTAGCCGCATCCCTCTAGTAACCACTTTCAATCCCACTCTGCCTCCACTATCCCAAATAATCAAACGTCACTGGGAAATAGTATATCTCAAACCAGATCTAAAAAAACTGTTTAAGGAACCCAGCCTTCTTGTATATCGTAGACCTAAGAACCTAAAAGAAATCATAGGTAAACCATATTTCAGGGGACAAGGTTCCGTGTCAAAAACAACAGGAAAACCATGTAACAACAAAAAAAGTTTATGATATTAAAAACACGAATTCATTCACTAGCTCAATCACTAAATCTACTTTCAAAATCTACCACTTATTCTAACTGTAGAAGTCATAACATAATTTACCTCCTAGAATGCACACTATGCCAGAAACAATATGTAGGAAAATCTGAATGGCCCTTTCACTACAGAATTAATAATTATTGAACGTTGTGAATTAAATAAAAAATTATTACCTGTAGAACAAACATTTCCGCCTGAAAAACATGATTTCAAAACCCATGCCAAATTCACTATAATTGAGAGAATAACTGAAAATAAGTTACAATGCCTAAAACAAAAAATATCCAGCCAGGCTAAACCATAAAAAAAACAAAATAAAATATATAACTCAACAAATAAAAACCTACCCACATTTCTCAGACAGACATTAGGTGTGGAGGCCTCACACTATACACTCACCCACATGAATATACACACACTAACACACATCATACTCACTCACTTAACGAGCCAAATGATAACACACACCCACAGCAATACACAAGCTTACATATCATTTAACACACACAAACACTAAACAGAGACACATCCCCTCACCAGGTCTAATAAAACTGTCAAACTGACCAGAGAATTCAAAGCAACATATATCTATCCAGCTCTTATCTCAAATAACAACAAAAGAGACTGTTTGACCAACACAAGGAATGTTAAGATTCATGTTAAAAAGATTCATGTTAAAAAGATAAAAAAAAAAAAAAAATGAAAACTGCAGACAAAAAGTTCATTTTCTCCATCAAGACATTCATTTCTGTACTACCAGCAAGAGAAATATTTCTCCTCCCGATGATGGCCATTTTGGTCGAATCTAGTCGAGGAATCTAAATGGAATAATAATAAAAAAAAAAAAAAAGAAATATTAATCTACAACCCAATGTGTCTAAAGATTTTAATTTTTTTATTGTTCAAAAAAAAAATTATATATATATAATATATATATATAATATAATGACACACACTTGCTGCTCTCTGTCTATTACTTGATGTTCCAAAATCTGGAAATATTTTGAGGAACTCCATGATTAGGCTGGGTACCCTAGCTGTGGAGAACCATGATGCCTTCTCATTGCCACATTTGAATAGGTAGTGTTCATTAATATTTGACCTATGACCCATGTAAATCTTTATTGAGATTTAAGGAATCTATACACTTGAATGTTGAGATTGTTTTTACCTTTTTTTTCTTTTTTTTTTTTTTAATATAAATTTTTATTTATTTATTTTTAGTTTGTGCAACCTTCTGAAGGACTTGGTAATTTTGACATCAATGCTTTTGCTGTCAAAATTATGTCTGTTGACCATCAACCACCAAAGAAGTAAGTATTTATACAAAAGTTGCTTTGATAATTTTGTCTTTAAAGGAATACCTTCCCTGCCAAATTTAGAGAACATAAACTTTATAAATTTTGTGAAATATTAAGCTGTGATAAAAAGCTTGAACATTTTTCTCTTTCTCTGGAGAGTTACAAATATTACAATGAAAATCACTTCTAATAAAAAAAAAAATAAAATAATTATTTGCTTTATTAGCCATTATCCGTTTTTGACTTGTATTTCTTTTATCCCAACTATTCAGACCATCAATCTACAGTAAAGTCTATGAAGTGGAAATAAAGAATAGCTCTCAATAAGACTTGAACTTGCATCCCTTTTACCTTAGGAAGCCTGTCTATGTACAACAGATTTTCTACCATTTGTGCTACAATTTTGCTATGGCTACAAAACATCAAATCTAACCATTTTAGATTTTTTTTTTTTATTTGTCTTTGATCACTCAGCGCCCCATTGGACACATATCTTGATGAAAAAAATACTCATCAAAATTCATAATAGTTGGAAATGCTTCATCTAATAAATTCTTATTTTTAAAATTATTTTCTCTTTGTCTTTCTACTGATTGCTGAAAGGTTAACAAATTCCCACTTCCCAAATCGTCACAATATAAATCTGCTCATTTAAAGTTTAAAATGTCAACCATTGTATAATGAACAAATATAGTAGAATGTTTATCTGAACACCACATATCCAAAGAAAATTTCAAGCTCCTCTATATTTAATTTAAGATTTTGTCAGATAAGATTTGTTGCAAATGATAGTTTATTGTTGTCCCCTATGGCTAAAGGGGAACAGTCGGCCACTTTAAACAATGTGGAATGGAAATAATTTTAATTAAATTTTTAAAAAATTAAAATATGTAGTGTAGTCTTCATTAACTCTACAACTTTGTCTTAAGTGCATCTATATGACAAAAGATGGAGTTTCTTGATGTCCTTATGTCTGTAAAGAGAAAGTGATTAGTCAGTTTGATATCAGTTAGCTAACTAATAATTATTATTTATTAACTAATAATGCCCTCAATAAAATCTGTTATTAATTATAGGTTTCTACCTTTAATCCGAAAATGAGACTTTGGACATTAATGGATTAGATATTGTTGAAAATATTTTAACACATGAATAAATAAAATAAGATGGATGCTCCATTATCACCTCCAATGAAATTTATTTTTGTAAAATAAAATATTACAATTTTTAAGCAATATTTTTTTTTTTTTTTAATTCATCGTATTGAATGAAAATAAACCTTCTCATCGTATGTGTTCAATATAACTTCCATTTTTATGATCAGGTCAGTTATCTAAACAAAATACTACATATTTGCCACAACTTCAAATATTATTTTGTGGATATTCATGTTTGAGTAGACGCCCTGTTTTTTTGTTTTTCAACTACATTAATTACATCTACTGTTCTGCACATTCAAAAGACTTAAGATGGTTTTTCCTACAGAGTGGGTCACAGGTACAAACACTACCTGTTTTTCTTGAAGTTTCTTGAATGTGCAAACTGGTAGATGTAATTCTCACTGTTTTTTGGGTTTTTTTTTTTTTAAAAAGATATAAAAAAACTACACGTCTGCTCAAAAATGGGCATCCTCAAAATAATATTTGGAATAGTAGGATGTGGGATAAAAACTAATTTTATATAAATAAAAATCCTTCCTCAGCCTAAAATAAATGATTGTCAGAATTGGCAATGAGTGTAAGAACTTTTTACAGTTATTATTGCCTTGGTGGTAATTATGGGAGAGTGGTTTACTCACTCAGCTACTTTTTTTTCTGTTAACCACAGTGACATGTCAGTGATAAGATGTTATGTCAGTACATCTGGTAAAAAATATAAAATGAAGAGGAAGTGGAATCATCCCTTTCCATAGACTATTAGCTCTAAGTGAACATGAATTCAGCCAGAATTGTTTTTTTTTGTTTTCTATCCCCCCATTTGAATATTTTTATGTAAAGTCACCTGATGAGACATGAACAATGAAACCTTGTTCATGTCAGCCTCTTCAATTGATTAAAATATCTAGCCATTGTTACTCATTATGCATATAAAACAAAAAGTGAACAAGAAAATGTTTCTTTGTTTAGCCATCTACCCAGTCCATAAATAATGGCTGTTCTCAAATATTATCTACAGTATCACTAAATCAACTTTTGTTTGCTCTTTTAGAAACTTGTTTTACAAGTATATTTGCTATTATTTTCTAAAATTTCTCCTGAAATTCCTAGTGTCTGCATTCCATTGTGAGCTGTTAGCTTGCAACTATTTTGATTTGAACACAAGAATGAATGAAGAGGACCTGATTTTACTCTGTATAATTCAGCCTTGATACAAATGACAGGAATGGATAGACAGTTGGGGTTAATCAAGTGCACAGTATGAGGCTTGAGTTTCAATCTCAACTACTAGGTAATATTTAAACTGAGCTGTCAAGTAATGGTTAATTTCGACTCTGTGTGTGTAAAGTAAAAATTAGGGTATAAATTATAACAAAAAATTTTTCTTTACCAACACATGTCATCCCTTGAGAAATTTTATCAAGGTAAATATGGAGATTTTATTTTGTAATTTGTATTTATACACAGAAATGACATAGAGGGGAAAATATTGTTGAGTTTTCAAATTTGGGATTGGAGAATGCTCTAGAATATTCTTAAAGCTTGCTCTCTATGAAAAGGTAAACTGTGGTGGACGTTAAATGATGTAATTTATTGCCTAATAAAAAAAAAAAAGTCTGCAAGTGTGGTTGAATTTTTATTTATTTTTTATTTTAATGTAATTATTTGTATGTATTTTATTTTGTTTAATTTTTTATGCATTAATTTATTTATTTTAAATACTTAAATCTTGAGTTAACCATTTTCTTTGAATTTTTAAAACATTTTATGGTCATGTATATTGCCTTGAGACTATTTTCTTTAAGAAACAAGATATTTGAAAAAATCCAGGTTATAAGCTAACATTTTGGTAAGAATCAATATTTGCACTCTCAAAAACCTTTTTCTAAGTAAATTATTTTCTCTTTTAATAGGTATAGCATTCTTAAGATTGAAGTTGCTAAAATTATTTCTGTGTATAACTAATGCATATGTAGGAGATTTTTCTTGTGTTCATAATTTTTTTTTTTTTTTTTTTTTTTTTTTTTTTTTTTTTGAGTTTCACCTATATATTTTAAGGAACAGCTGTAATAGTTTTTCATATATTCCTGCCTCTGAATTATTGTTATGGACATTTTCGATTGTGATCATATCCATAACAGATTTGAATGTGGTTGTAATTATTTTGGTATCGTCTGTCTATATCTCTGAGGTATTATGATTACTTGTATTATTTACATTATTCTGACTGTTATCCTCATTTTCATTGCCATATTCACAATGTTTCAGCTGTTGTATGCACCAGCCTCCTTCAGGTAATTGGAATTTTGAGCCAAACCCTTTATTTTGTCCACTGGGGTAGATTGTTCTAGTTCCAGATTTGTTGAGTTAAAGGGAAATAATTGAGACATCCAGAAGAGCCATGGCATGTGGGACTAGAACAACCTACTCCAATGGATGAAACAAAGGGTTCAGTTTGAAATTCCAATCACCTGAAGAAGGCCAGAGCATACAACAGCCGAAACATTGTGAATATGGCGATGAAGATAACAGTCCGAATAATGTAAATAATGCAAGTACTTTGATATTATTTAGATTGTTTTGAATAAATATTAGAGTTGGTAGATAATATATGACTATTTTTATTTAGTTTGTTATTGCATTGTTGTACATTTTGTATGCCTTTCTCTTAGTTTTGTGGATGAAATATTAAGGATAGTGAAGGTTTTTAAGTGTTTTCAATATATATTTCTTCTTCTAGTAAATATTTGGGGCTGCAGATATTTAAGGCTCTTAGATAAAATCCTATAATTATTCCAGAATTTGTGTTGATTCGGTTTGTTTTCTATAGCTTATCAATCCTTTGTAGGTTATTTAAAGCCAGAAAAATTTTTTTTTTAAACTGTAAGTATTTATTTTATTTTATTTTATTTTTTTTTTGAGATAATAGTAGTTTAATGATACAAGTCCTACTAATTAACCCATAGCTGGAGGGAGAACAGGTGGATTCATAACTTTCCCAAGAGTATTTGCTTGTAAGTGAATATAACAAATACAACTGGAATTGGAATTCTGCTCTCCAATTAACAATTCTGAGCCATTATCAATTACACCACCAACACATCCAATGCTTACAGTACCTGGTATTCCTAATCAGTCACCCATTTAGGTATTGACCAGGCACAATGTTGCTTCCAGATTTTATTCTGCTACACTGGTGAGGATAATAGTTTATGAGGTCATTCTTGTTGGTAGATTTTCTGTAAACAATTAATTGAAGGTTGTTATTGGTTCTACTTAGCATGACTAGGAAGTGTAATGTGTTAGTTTCAGTTTCAAAAGTTGTGGGTTTAATGCTATTAAGTTTATTTACAAAGTCAAGAAAAATTGTTGTGGATATATATTAACTGAGTATCATCTATGTATTGAAAATAAGAATTTTGTGGTAACATTTTTTTGAATGGATCACTTTCTAGAAACTCTAAAAAGAGACAAGCTAAAATGCCACTAAGAGTTGAACCCATTGGTAAACCAATTTTTTTTATAATGAAAAAACATTGATTAGTAATTAATTGGCACATTTTATTTTTTTTTATTTTATTTTTTCCATTAAATATGTTTTTATTAGACATTTCTTTACAGGAAAATTTGTATATAACGATTTTATATATAACCTGGGCATATATTTGTCTTTTTTTTTTTTTTTTTTTTTTTTTTTTTTTTTTTTTTTTATATGTAAGAAGTTAATTGTGCTAAGTAGTGAAATTAAATCTTTGGCTAGGTGTGCTGATTATTTTATGAGAAGCACTACAGATTTCTGATAAAATGGGTCTCATTGAAATAAATTAATAGATAACTGAAACAAATAAACAAAAGTGTAAATGTTGAATTTTATTTAATGTGATTATTTATTTCTATGCATTTTAGTTAATTATTAAGATATTATTTATGTATTAATGTATACATAAATAATATCTTAATAATTAACTAAAATGCATAGAAATAAATAATCACATTAAATAAAATTCAACATTTACACACTTTTGTTTATTAGGCAATAAATTAACATTTGCCATAATTTACATTTCCTTACACCTCGAGCTTTAAGAACATTTTAGAGCATTCTCAAATCACAAAATTTAAAAATCTAACATGTTTCTTCTGTCTATAAATACAAGTTGTGAAATAAAATTTCCACATTTACTTTGATAAAGTTCAATGGATGAAATGCGTTGTTAAAGAAAAATTGTTCTTTTCTCTCATATATATCCCATATCATTAGTAGGATTTATTAAACAAATACATAAAAATTTTGAATCACTGTTACAAACATTACAAAAACTATCCAACCATTTTATATTAATAGAAAATATATCCTACCTCAGACAATGGGGCTTTTGTCATTTTCAAAGTATTCATGTCACTTCTACTTTTCAAAATATTCTTCAAAATTTTTTTTTTTTTTAATTAACACCTGCCTAGTTTATCAAGTTTTTCTAAATCTTTATCATAACATTTAACTGGTGATTCTAACTTTAGGAAAAGCCAGAATCACAGGTAGCCAAATTTAGATTGCAGGTTGACTAACAGACATAGGTGACTAGATGCTCTACTGATGAAAAATGTGCACAAGACTTGAAGAAAGGACAGGCACTCAGTGACTGTGATGATCACACAGTACACAAACTCACTTAGTGATATCGCACTGCTGAGTGAGTGATCCTATGGGAGAGTGTCTGTTCAATCATGTACACATATCCTCCCTAAGTTGCAACAAGGCCACACAACCTATTCTCATATATATATAATATATATATACACACACACTTCATATATTTATATACTTATTTATATAACTCCTGTTATCATTGAAGAGTTTATTAAATAGATCCACTAAAATGTTTTATTCATTCTGATTACTGAAAACTTATAATTGCAAATATGCAAGTGCTAAAATTTTCATAGTCTATTTAGCATCTCAACAGATGAAACAAATATAATAATTCAAAAAGTTGATTATTTAATATTTATCTGTATTCTGCAAGAAAACCTGTGCAAAATAACTTTAGAAGCATACTTTGAGTAGAGAAATGATATATTTTGATGTCCTCCATGTTCTCCCTCAATAATTTATTATAGCCATTCATGTTAAGTGCTTCATCTTAATATAAGAAAAAGAAAATTGGTCATTTAGAGAAAATTAAACATCATAACATTACCAAAATTTAAGCACCAAATTTTCCAAAATTTTTATCTAAAATTTGTTATGGCAAATTTCAGTATTCCATCTGTATGTTTTTCTTTGAATATCTTGAAAGAAATTTTCAATGGTCAGGAATTAATGCAAACTTTACTGACATAACAGGACTAAATGATATGGTTTTTATTTATTTACTTTTTAATTTAGTATTTAAAAAACAAAAAAAAGACAATAGCCTGTAATGTCATCACTTGTGGAAAAGAAAAGAAAAAAAAAACTCTCATTTATCAGAGAGACATAAAGAAATCTATCCTGCATAATATATCTTAATGTATGCTTTAAACTTTCTCTTTTTTTTTCTTTTTTTTTTCAGTGGTTTTACACTTATTGAGGACAAGCAAGTTCTTTTATCTGAGACAGCTGAACGGGTTTCTGCTTATGTGAGTTGTGTTATATCTTTTATTAATTTCACTAATAATGAAACTGCAATAAATCTAAAGAAAACAAGAGGGAAATATCTGATGAATTTATCTTAATTCATATTGTTAGTAGTAATTATAGATTACCCTTATTTATTTATTTATCTTTTTTGAAATGCTATATTTCATCTCTTCGAGCAAACTTTAGGCTAGCTCCTGCAGAAAGCTTTAAGGCCTTTGTCATTTTGCCTTCAGCATCCTATATGCGTAAAAGTTATAAGAATTTAGAAATAGTAAAATTATTTTATCTTTATTTGACACTTTAATTTAGCATAATCTTTCTTCGTATATGCAGTCAATCTCCATAATTTGTTTACATTTATTTTGCATGCTGTTTTTTTTTGTTTTTTTTTTCTTTCAAAATCCCCATTCTTTATGATCCCTTCACATAAAGTCACTCTTAAAAGACATTAGAGAACCCAAACTATGTAATATTTTGAATACGTCACAGTACTTTTGCTAGAAAAAGAAAAAAAATGTGAGCAATGTTCTATGTCCCACTTAAGTTTTAATTATGGTTTAATTAGACGATATCTGTTGCAAATGCGATGAAAAGTGAAATTAAAGTCAAACCTTTAGTATCTGTCTATATTTCTGAGATGAGTTATTATGTACACTATTTACATTATTTGGACGATTGTCCTTCTCTTTGTCGCCATATTTATTATTACATTATTTATTTGGCCATTGTACACACCGGCTTTCTTCAGGTAGTTGAAATGCTGAACTGAACCCTTTATTTCACTCACTGGGGAGTTCAATACCCAGTTAAAGCAGTGGAGAACTTGGAGAGGGGAATTAACAGGAGATAACTGATAACTGACATCCATTAAAACATGGCCCATGGAACTAGATCAGTCTACCTCAGTGAATGAAATAAAGGGTCCAGTTTGACATTCCAACCACCTGAAGAAGGTCAGAGTGTACAACGGCCGAAACGTAATAAATATGGTGACAAAGATGAGGACAATATACCAAATAAAGTTAAACCTTTAAAGAATTATTTTTTTTAAACCTTTCATTCTGTTCAATATTTAACTTTAAATGAGTTGTTTATTTAATTTTTAATTGTTTGTAGTTACTTTAGGTTGTTTATGATTCACCAAGATCGAAAAATGAACAGACACTGCACTTTATTTATATACAGAGTGGGTGAAAAGTAAGTAGAAAAAAAATTGATAATAAAATCCATATCCCTATTACAAATTTATTGAAATAAATGATACCTGTTTTTTATTATATGGGAAAATGAAAGTAAATCTTCGTTTCATTGTAAGAACTGGTGGCGCCAACCAGTTTCCTCGAACAGCCAAGGATGGAATGAACAACCTTCTGAAGGACGTCGTCTGGGATATCATTGAGAATCTCATGAATCTGTGTCTCTAAGTTCTCTAGTGTGAGATTTTGTCTTGTGTACCTCTTTTGTGTAATCCCATGGGTAAAAATCACATAGTGAGATCTGGACTTCTTGGAGGCCATTCATAAGGTTCATGTTGTTCCATCCAATGTCCTGGAAAATGTTGGTCTAACCATGTATGCACAGTAAGAGTGTTGCACCATCCTACATGAGTATCAGGTCACCAATGTTATTCCAGCCACATGTCATTTTTGAGCATCTGAAGATAGCAGTTTGTATTCGTGGTGTCATGCAGAAGATATTGGCTGACGACTCTTGTTGCCCTCATTTCGCACCATACGGTCACTTTTGGCCAAGCTTGCATCCTCTCAACCATCACATTTGGATCATTATCACACAACGCCCAGTCATGGCAGTTGTGACAATTGATGAAACCACCAATATGGAATACAGCCTTGTCACTCTAGAGATTGTTTTCAAACAATTCAGGCCAATCTTCGTGCCAACCTAGCATTAACTTTCTATATTCCATTCTGCAGTCACATTCTTCAGGTTTTAGCTTCTGCACTTATAATAGGATTTCTACAGATGAAAATTCAAACCTTTATGCAACACCATACATATTGTTGTGTGTCTTATTAGTCCACTTTCATGAGCTGCTTGACATGTTGATTTTTGTGGGCTGCAATTAAACATTTCCTGCACTGTTGCCACATTCTCAACTGATCGGGATGTAGTTGGATAGCCACTTCTTGCATCATTCACGAAGCCCGTGATCATCAGCTTTGCATGACAATTTGTTATTGTTTCCAGACTTGGCATTGCAGGCTTATCTTTCCATGCATACCATCATCCCTGAACCTCAACAATGGAATTCCACACTTCATAGCTTTCTGCTATCTTAGCTTGCTCCTGAACAGTCAAGCAACCAACCAACCATCTGGAAAATAAGAAATAAGACAATAAATAAATAAGAAATCCCTGTTAGTGTTGTTTGTTTAAAAAATGTTTTTGTCATGACTTCAATGATACTAAAATTTCTATAAGCAATTTCTAATGCCTAGTTGCTTTCCACCCACTCCGTAGAAGATTATAAAGGAAAAAAAAAAGAAAATTCATCTCTTTGTTCACTTTGGATGAATAATCAATTTTTATAAGAATTGTTTTCATTTTTTTTTTTTTTTTTTTAATTATAATAACTTAAAAATCTTTTAAAATTCTGCATTAATTTAATCCAGTTAGGTGATATTGTTATTAAGTGAAAACTATATTTACTAATCAAAAATTGGAAAGCTTAATACAAAGTATTTTGCTCCAAGATTTTTAAAATAATTTAATTTTTTTTTTTTTTATGTATGTAAAATATTACGTAACGTTTGAAAGTATGGTTGACCATACATGACATTATCAGGAAATTAGAGTGATGACTATAGTAAATTTAAAGTCAACATTCCTAAAATTAGATTATGGAGAATATTTTCCAACATTTTTAAGATTACTGAGTACTTAAAAATTCTATAAAAATCTTGCCCATCATTTTCTTATATTATGTTTAAAGTCACCATAGATCAACAAACCTTAGGTATTGAAAATTAGTGGAGGTACCTAATCTTCAAATTCTGAAAATTCATGGCAAGTATCTTATAAAATTCCATTATGGTGACCCAACACATGCTTGCTTCAAATAGCATCCAAAGTATATTCTTTGTAAACATCCCCCACCCTGATCTAATGGTTTCCAAATGCTAGCATCATTTATTCAATAAAATCAGTTTTCTAAATTGATTTTTGCACTTTATCATTTAAACTATCTTTCTTCAATATAAAAAAAAAAAATGAGCCTCCATCAGGTATTATTGATAATTCACACCATAAAACCTCTTTGGAGATAAGTCATCCATCATCCTATTATAAATATATTGATTTCCATCTGCATCATTCTCTAACATTTTTTAATCATTTTACTCCAAGTAAGGCAATAAAACCACTAAGACATAATGGGGGTTACTGAATGTAAGAGAATACAAGAAAAAACATTAAAGAAAGAGAGAAGAATAAAAGAACAGGAATTGAGAAGACAGAAGGTAATGATTGATATTGCATTTATATTTATCAAATCGAAGTTGACTGGAAAGTAAGAAGCCAGAAAAGTGTTCCACAAATGAGAAGTGCAAGAGAAGAAACTGTTAACATAAAATTTAGATTTACATCTAGCAATTTCAACAATAAAAAGATGAGACTTTTCTGCCAATCTAGTACTGCACTTAAATTCATCAAGTCTATCTACTATAGAGGAAAGTTCATCAGAACAATTACCATGCATTAAATTTGGAAAATATAGTTTTATATTGTGAACGAGTATTGATCATTAGCTTTTTACAGTTTAAAGGAGTATACGCTACATTTGAAAATGTGTAAGTGTCCTAGTGGTTACATGCTGGTGTGCAGTATTTGGAGATTCATACTCTTTAGTATTTATCGATTTGATTCTTATCATGAAAGAAATCACTAATTAGAATATTATGCATTTTTCTAAATTCCTTTTTGTAAATACAAGGTGAAGATATTCAAAATTATTGCAGTTTGTGGTATCATCTAAGAAATTTAATTTTAATTTTTTTTTTTTTTTTTTTTAAAGAAATCCTTACCACTGCTGTTTGTTATAAGAAATTAAACAGCTACTTAAACATCTCAATATCTTACCACTTTTTAAAAGATTAGGTTTTTAATCTTGATAATTTACATAATGTTATCTTATTTTATTTTATTTTTTGCAGGTGTATTATTTCATTCTGTATGATTCCCAAGCTCGTGGATATGTGCGGCCATTTTGTATGGCTTATGTAACACCCGATTGTAGGTAAGTTGCATTTGTTTATTCTTCTCTAACTTTGAAATATTTCAGTTTTTCAGTAATTCTTTTCAGATACAATATTTATGGTATTTCTTATGTTTGATATAAAAACTTTTAAGTAATTCAAATTTTATTAATATTAACCAGAAAATTTTGTATCATGAATTGCATTGTCGTTAATGATATCTGTAACATTTGCATTAATAATATTGATTGTAAATAATACCTAAATCTTCTTTTCTGATTGTTGATCTTTTAAGATTTTTTTTCCTAGTAATTCATAAGTTTTGTTTCATGATGGAAGTTATTGATATTATTTTCTGTCTTCAGAAAGTTAGTTACATTTTACAAAGAAATACATGAAGCATTCTCTAAGGCAAGTTATTTTTTTATTTATTTATTTTATGCAGCTCTAGAAAACGTTTTTCTCTTGAAAAACAACTTTGTATTTTTTATTGTTTCTGTATTAATCAAGTTATATTTTAGATGGACATCAAAATCATTGGCACAATTCAATAAAATATTTTTGTGGGTATAATTAAAGTTTAATACTGTAAATGAAATGAAACAGCAATATTTTGATAAATTTACTCTGAATGCATTGCATCTAAAATAATCTTTTTAAATTATTTAAATAAAGCCTTAATAATCAATTTCTTTTTATTAGTGGCAAAATTATTGGTGTGGTTACAGATTTTGCTTTTTAAAATGGGAAAATCCATGTATTTATAAAAGCTGATTAATATACAGCTTCTAAAAGATTATATATGGGAAATTAGATTTTGAATCCCTTCACAGATATAAAAATAGAAGCCTACTACTTCTCAAAGTTCAAAACAATTTTGGAGGCTTGTTTGATCTATATATATATATGTGTGTGTGTGTGTGTATATAAAACACACATACACTGGAAGAGATGAAAGCCAGCAGCCACCAACTAAGGCCTTTGCCCATGCACACAATAAAAGGGAATAACCAACACCCATCAACTAAGGCTTTTGTCTTTGAACTCTCAAACTCCTTAAACTGACTGCCATAAAGTAAGTTTGTCTACACATTTCGCACCATACTAATGACACTTAATTACTTGATAAAATAAACTTCACTGCAAGAAAAATTGAACATTTTATTGTATTTCTCTGAATAAAATATTTAAATGTTATTTCAACTGACATTCTGCTTCTTCTTTTCCTGCAGGAAATAACTTGTTTCATTTAAAAGATGTATTGTTGTTGTTTGTTGTTAAATGTTTGTGATCCTGTCACTCAAATAGCAACAAAAGATGGCAGTATAAGATTGCACAAAATAACTGTAAGAGAACCCCCCCAAATAAACAATGAATTAGATTGTTTGTCAGAAAATTGTGGGTAGAATTTTTGAAAGAGGTGTGTAGAAAGTATTTCATCCTAGGAAGACCTCTCTTTTGCAGCCTTGCCATTTCATCACATTGCTATCCATTACTTCAGTGTGTTTCCTCGACAGAGGAATAATGGATAGCAGCTCAGATTGAGGAAATGGAGAACCTAGTTTGAATTCCAGTTGAATCCATTACATTCACTTGCATGCTAACACACTTGGGGAATGGTATGAATCCTCTTCTTTTCCCTCCAGCAGGTCAGACCGAGTTCTATAGCCTTGAATGGCAACTGGTCTACCACAGAAAGAAATGGCAACCTACTGTAAGAAAAAATCTGCCTCGTCAGTCATATATCTTTCAATACATGATTGCCTAAGTGTGTATCATGCATGGCACATAACTGACAATATTATGGCATTGTGACACTATTTAGCTATGGTAATTGGCTAACTAATTAACCATAGAAATTAAAAACAGGAAAGACTTAAGGTGAGAAAGAGCTATATCGAAAGATAGACTAATCGACGTTAAAAAAAAGATTTTATTTTATTTACAAAGAAAGATGTTTTTCGCACGAGACAGAAAATCCATAAGAAAAAGCGAGATATGAGATTCTGTCAAAACTGATTAATGTCACGATAAAGGAGTGACATGCCAAGGGAAACAGAATTCAGAAGGAAAAACAAAGCCAACCAATGCATGCACCCATAAAAAAGTTTGGCTTGAGACCACCACGAAGAATAGATATTAGTTATCTTTCAGAGATATCATTTAATTTTAATTCCTGGGTCCAACGAAGGGAGCCATCTGATGTGTGTTAGAATTCTGGCATGAGGAAGAAAATTGTATTATTGCTTATTCAAACTGTTGACGTCAGACATATCTTTTGAAAATGGGAATTTGGTGATAAGAGGATTTTAAGACATGAGAAAAATAAAGAATTTGATTCTCAGGTAAAATACGGACCTCCCAACTAAGAGTTGACTTAGCAGAAGAAACCATGTGTCAGGTTTTGACAGTGATTGATGAGTCAGTAGAGAGACCCGACTAAGTGAATTTTGGGTGTCCCCAGAAAAAAAGATGTGATAAGAATTATTTGGCAATCTGGGATTTGTAAATGTTTTGGCCGAAGAAAGAAAAAAAAAAAAAAAGGATTTTGTAAACAAAATTCTGGATAATAAATTCAAGAGGGCCAGTCTAGCCACACCCACACTGTTGAGAGATCATTGGTCAAGTGGTAGCATAGGCGATAGGCGGAGGTGAATGTATGAGAAAGACAGAGAAGTTGTTAACAGCCACTGAGGGGATTGGTATGAGATACCAATGTGAGAGAGGAAGAGTCTAGGAGGATAACTCTCCTCTGACCTTCCATCACGGACGAGGGAGAAATCCCCGAAATGGAAAGTGATTAATCTTCCAAAAATGGCAAGTAATTAATTTTCCTGGCCTAAGAACAAAGGGAATTCTTGCTGGGAATCAAGAATTATCGGGAACCCAACCCACATCAGGCCCCCACACCGGGTTTTGGCCGGTATCCATATAAACGAACGTCTCGACGCAGCTGATCAGTTTGCAGTTAGTCAGTTCCAGGAGTTCCAGCAGTTGATTCGCAGTTGCAGTCAGGCTGTTGCCTTGCAGAAGCTGACTGAGATTTCCATGTCCTTTTCGACTTAGCCTTCCTACTAAAAGCAAGTTATATTGATGAATGACTTAAGATACCAAAACTCACTTAAGAAACAAAAGTGTCACTAATCCATAGAAACGGGCTGGGAGAGAAACACTCCTGTATTCAACAGATGGATAAAGATAATTTGTTATTTCTCAACATATTTGAACCTCTTGAGTTTGTTTTATTGTTTCTTTTACTTACGCTAATGTGATATCACCTTTAACCCGGATTCAGCTTGCACAACGGCCTGACGCCTGATTGATTTCATCGACCTAAGATCAAAGTCACAACATGAGTATGTTAGAATTGAGATCAAAGTAGTTACTTCGGTAACCAGATGTTGGAAGTGAGCTGGGAATGGCAAAGCTGATATCGAACCGGGAACGACCAGATCGACTGGGACACAGGCTGATGGCAGTGACAAAGAGCCAACCCCAGAATGCTGGTGGAAGAAACCTTACAGCTTTGCACCGCAATTGGGAGTTGACCACGAGCCGACAGCGCAGTGTCACATATTGGTGTCGCGACCAGGGGATGTCATATATTGGTGCTGCAACTGTGACCACTGGTGTGTGTCACAGCATGATAAAAAAAAAAAAAAAAGTAGCATGAAGATGGTAGGATGATGTTCTGGGGCTGTTTTACAACAAAATGTCCTGCATGTTTATTTAAAGCTGATGGCATAAAGGAGTAATACATTGTTATTTTGAGATACTGCATGAAGGCGGAATCTGCAAGGGAACTCCAATTCGGGGACATTGTTGCTCTGCATGAAGGTTCAACAATCTCCAGCATACATTAAATTTAGTAAAAACATGGTTGGAGCCAAATATGTCTTATGATGGCCAACTCAAAGCTCTGACCATATTCCAATAGAAAATTTGTGGAGATAGTTTATGGTGAGAGTAAGGCAAAGAAATCTGTTTTTGTTTTACGACATATCAACCTCAATGGATTATTTAATGCTGACAAAATTTTTATTGCTGGTAATATTTTTTTCAAAAATGTATTGCTGGTAATAATTTTTTTTACAAAAAAGGATTTCTGGCATTAAAATATATTTTTACACTTTCATAGTGTTTTGACCCCAGTTTAGGGGTTAACTATTTGCCCATGCTACCACTCTGAGTCAGGGTTAATCTGGAACACCAGCAATTAATAGGTGATTCCATGCTCCTCAAAACCTCCTGATCAGAGGCCTTGCTGTTGGATGTAGTTTATCATCTTACCCAGGATGCAGATGTAGTTTATCGTCATACCCAGGATGAGAAAGAAATCTGAAGAATTTCCAAAAATTAGCCAAGAATTACAGAAATGGAAGAAAATAAGGAAAGCTGAATGCAGCAATTTGGTAAAAGATTACAGAAAATCTTCACCTTAAACAGGTACACCACTATTGACTTGATTAATCATGCCAATAATTTTGACCTTATTGATATTTTTACTGTTTGATTTGGATTTTATTTTAATTAAGTTTCAATATTATTTTCAATATTTTTGAATTCAATGCATTCAGAGTAAATTTATCAAAATATAGCTTTTTTTTCTTTTTTATTTACCATTTTAATATTTAATTATTCCCACAAAAAATGACATTTTATTGAACTATGCTAATAATTTTGATCACTGTAAATTACTTATTTATAAAGAGTCTGTGTTAATTGGTTTGAATAAAATTGAAGAAAATATTAAATGTTGAATTTAGAGGCAAGATTAATATTTATTTTTTTTTTTTTTTTCTGTAAATATCAGTTTGAAGCAGTCATTGATTATAACTTTGTCTATTGAAAGGTTTCCCATGATCTCAAAGTTGGCAACCTCAGATTATTTGCAACTGAAATGAGACATCAACTCAGGGACCTGGATTACAGTTTTGGTAAAGTTATCCAAAGTTCTTTGTAAATTCATCTATCTATCTATCTATCTATCTAAAATTTGTGTAAATTATTTCATGTAGATTTCTTGAAACTTTCTTGTAAGAACTGGTTAAAGCTTTCTTCTTTCATGATTTTACAAGTACAATGTTATTTTTCAGCTAGTTCACAAGTTATTGTCTTTTCTTAGTCTGTGTTGAAATCTGTTCATATGGATGACTTGTCTATTTTTTAAAACAAGTTTGGTCATTTACTTATTTAAAAGTCAGTCCCAAGCTGACTACGTAGGCTTCTTAAGAGGAGTATTGCTGAGCATGTTCTGCAATGTATAAAAGAAACGGTAGACTATGTAATTTGCAGAAGTCTTCCATTACATCCAGGTCTGCAATCATGGGGCACCTTATACAAAATCATGAATGTGCCATGTTGTAGCAAAAAATGGATGTGTACTCAGTTTTGTTCAGGTCACACTCTGATTATCATTTGAAAGTCCAAGAAACAATTTTCATTGTCATGGCAACCTTCCCTCAGTAAGCAAAAAGGATGGTTGCTAGAACACTATGTAGTTTGCCTGTAAAATATTCTGTTTTCATATATATATATATATATATATATATGAAGGACAGTATTGATGTGGGGAAAAAGTTTTCATGTGATGTGTTTAGTCTTTTAGGATTTCAACATATTTAGTCCAGTGAAGTCCTAAAGGACAAAACACATCACACAAAAACTTATATCTATTGGATGGGGGTGGAATCACTTTACATTTCCCTTATAGTTATAATGACTGCTTACTGACAGACTAAAAGATTACCTGTTAAACAATCTGGATTACTGAGGCAAATTTCATGGTCTTATATTTATTTATTTTTTTTTTTTTTTTTTTTTTTTTTTTTAGCTATAAATTTTTTAATCAGTCTTGAGCCGATGTTAATCATTTAGCTAGCAGAACAGTCGTTAAATAAACTTGAATGATTCTAGAAAATATTTTGTCATTTTGGTTTCTTCTGTAGACTTTTGGTTGTTAATTTTATCAGTTTATTATCAGTGCATGTGTCACTGTGTATGAGGAGTGATCTCATGATGGTAAAATTCTTACAATTTTGATACTTTGTTGCATTGAGTGAATGAAGGAATTAGATTCCAAGTAAGTTAGTTATTTATTGTTGGTGTAGTTTTTTGTCTTAAGGGCAAATAAATATGAGCAGGCTAAATAGACATTTAGTCTAACACAAGACCAATTGGTAGGGGGATGAAGAAGTGGGGAAAATAGTGTTGTGACAATCTTCTCAGTGAGGGCAATCTACTGACTTTAATTATGTCTCTGTATATATTCATTATATGATAAAAACAAAGATAAGGATCTTAAAATAAATTATTGAATTTTATTTAATTCTCTTAATTTCTGGTTTTAATTTATAATTTCAGACTGTTTGATCAAACTATCAAAGCAAGAAGAAATTTTAGCAGCTCCTCCACCAGAAGAATCATCAGTTACGTCAGATTCTTCAAACATTACATTACAAAGTGTGAAGCTTTTAAAAGAAGAAACGGAAGCCATCTTAGAAGTGCTACAGCAAAACAAAGTATGATTTCATGTACATTTTCAAGGTTTTTAGAATCAATTTATCATTTTTTTTTTATTAACAGAGATAAATTTCTTGTTTTCAGTATGTGGGAATTCAATAACCAAATTGAATTAAAACAAAAAAGCTTTAAGTAAAAAATTTATGAAAGATGTGAATTGAATTACAGTTCAATAATCCATAGTTTTAACATTTATATTATGTGTTACTGACCAGTTGTAGAAATAACCTTTCTTTCCTTATTTCCCTTTTTCCTCTAGTTAAGTGTATATCTAAATTTCTACCTGATCAAATTCATTATTATTAAAGACAAAATTAATTCAGAATTTCTGTTATTTTAATTAGGCTATTAGTATTTATTGAATCTTGATTTCTCTTATAAAAAAAAAATCATCACAATAGTCAAATAATTCTATTTATAAGAAATTAGCAGTTTGAGGATTTTCTTTGTCAAGAATGGAAGGAAATCGGCAAGTACTTTAAAAATGAGCTGTATTTGGAATTCTACAAGCTATAGACATAAAAATGCACAAAATATTTTTAAAAATAATATATGGTATTAAAAGTAAGTAAAAATGGAAATTTTAAAAATTTCCTATGTGGTTGTATTTATATATTTTAGCAGATAATGTCAACCATGGATGAAAATTTAAAAACACATAAGATGACAAATGATATTCAAAATGTGGTGTTACAAGATTTATTAAAATGTTCTGAAAAAAAAATATCAGCTTCATGCATTGCACCATAAACGGAATCATATTACTCTGGTTTGATGCTTTCTGAATTGCCCAAAAATTATTAAGTGTAAATGATTTTATTTAAATGCTTTTCAGAATAAAAGATTCTAAATGTTGAAATAATAAACTCAATAAAAATGAGTTTTTTTTTATTTTATTTTATTTCTAAATGTAAAAACTATTTTAGAACAAGCTTCTTACATGAAATGTAACAACAATTATGACAGAAATTGTATTTTCTTTACATATTTATAATTCCATTAAAAAAAAAAATTTTTTTAAAGTTTCTCAAACGTCAATGAAAGTATTATTCTGTTTCACACACTTGTATTTATTAGAAACAAATAAGATGATTTCCAAAGATTAATTTTTTAAAATAAATTTTATTTTCAGGCTCTCTTTGAGAATTCATTTGTAGAATTCCATACCACAACATCTGTGGATTGTAAATGTGATATTGATTCTCAAGATGGCAGTAGCTGTGGCAGCTTTAAGGAGACTGAACTTGACTCTCTGCATCAGAGAGCTCCAGTTTTCTCAAAGGATCATTCCAAATCAGCAGCTAGAAGTGATAATCACCATAATATTGCTGGACAGACAAAACATTTAGCCTATCGACCTTATGGAGACAGTAGTAGCAGTGAGTCTGATCTCGAGAAGCGACTGTGTGATCATCATGAAAGCAAGGCCCATATCATACAGCCTGGGCAGGAACGAGCGTCCACCAGTTTTTCTCAGAAACCTTTAGAAATTGTCCACAATCATGTGACTCGATTAAAGTCAGACTCTTCAGTGAAGCCGAGTATGATTCGAAATGATCTTTATGTCAGGGTCAGTAGTGTGGACAGATCCCATTCATGTTCGGACATTTGGTCTAGTGTGGATGGTCAAAAAGATAGCCATGAATATATATTGCAAGGACCAAGTCCTGTCATTCTTCATTCTAGTGAATCTGATTTTTCCACATCATCCACTTCTTCACAGCTGGATCATCCGGCCCTGGACCATTCTGACACAGCAACAGCTTTGATAGGTAAGTTTCTATTGGATCGTCAAATGTCATACACAGTGACTGGAAAGAAGGTAGGGTTAATTTTTATTATTGGATGTTCTAATGGAACTGCTTGGGTTTATTGATTATTCATTTTTTCATTAGTTTTTCTTTCATCTTTTGTTACTGTTGTTGGAACCTTCTTGTTTTTTTTTAAATTTAATCAGTATGAAGCAAAAACAAGAAAATAATCTTCCAATGACGTTTTGACTCGCATCCTTATCTTTGGGGATTTTGCCTGAATAGGATAGCAATATACCTTACTGATTAGGCTATGAAAGTTACCCCAATAATCATCATTTAAATTTAACCACATTCTTCATTGTCTAATGTTTTACTTCTTTAATGGACTCAGTGGAAACAGGACAAGCAATAACTAAGCAGTACTAAAATGAGAAATGATATTCCTAGACATTTGCAGTGCAACAAGAGCAATTTACCCCATAAATAAAATAAAGGACATTGCTAGATGACTACCTGCTCAATTTATCATCACCAGTGATTATGAGTAGCATATTGATCTTGCAAGATGTTGGTAGTCAGTTTTTCTTCTACTCATAGAATAAAAATTAAATAAAGAATAAAATAAATAATAAATGTAATAATTTCATTTTCCCATAATGAAAATGGAAACCCCAAAAACAAGGGTTTCCTGTCACCTGCAAAGTTTGTGATCCCACTTCCGGAAAGGAGATCATCTCTCTCTTGATACTTTTAAATGATTCAATTCAGATGTGTTTTGCAGCAATCCTAAGGAAAAAGAGATTCAGTCACCCTCTCTCAACGTCATGTTGACTTGAGGTTGACCATTCTTATCTCCGAGTTAGTACACACACATGCGTCAATAAAAAAATTAACGATTAATTTTTCCAACTTAATAACAACTGACAATTCTTCCTTTTTAAGAAATTCAAACACTATTACATCTAATACTACTTCTATGTGCCATGTCCCTTCAGGACATTAGCAATCATGGCTCTTCAAAATTTCCTGTCCTTCATAGCTCTTAATAAATTTTGTCTTTTTATTATTTCTTCTAAACCTTGTTCTGCCATACATTTATTTACTCAAGCTCACTAAATTATGCATTGTTTTCCTCTGTCCTTCTAGCCTTTAGTCTGTCCTGTGAGTACCAGATTTTCCAATCCCTCTTTTCATTGCCCTAGAAATTTCAACTGTCTCATGATGTTATGTATAAGTTCCCTTTTTATTTCCATTTTCTCTAAAGCCTCGCGGCTTTGGTTGACGGTATTGTCAGCATCCTCCTGTAGAACCACATTTCTACTACCTCAAGTCTCCTCTTCATCTGTGAAGTGATTCTCCAGTATTCTTCACATCTCCAAATATCATATTCTGCTTAATACTACTATCATGAAAAATATAAACCAGCAAGATGCAGAATATGACATTTGGATATGTGGAGAATGATATATGACTAAATTTGAATGATTCCTGCACATTAACTTTTGACCTTCATAGCCTAATTATTGACCAGGTGCTGTCACTCCCAAGGATGAAAAATACAAGTTCATATCCTGTTTATGATCCATGTTACAAAAACTCCTATTTTAATCTTGATTAAGGATATCTTTGAAGTGCTCCTTAATTATGCCCGTTTGTTCTCTTAAATTGTTTGTGGGAAAAACTTATCTTAATGAAAATTATAACTACATATATAGCGTTTGTATTTGACACTTGATTCTGTTTAAAAAGGTTTTTATACTCAGGGCTGAAGAATGCTTTAGAAAACTTCAGAATTTAAAGATGATTAAATTGGAAAAACTTTTGATGGAAGATGTAAACATTTGGTTTCTTGCTGAAAACAAAAATTTCTTTTTTTTTTTTTCCTTTTTTTTCTGTTTTTTTTCTTTCGTTAACTTTTTTTTTAAGTTGATAATTGAAATGAAGAATAGAAGAATATAGAATTCAGAAAATAATGTCTGTATCCATGACAGCTTTCAACATCTCAAACTAAATAGAATCTTCTAGAGAATTGTTCTTCCCATGTGTTCTTTTTGTTTTGGGCTCAAAAAGTATATTTTTTCTTTATCATGAATAGCTAGAAACTGAACTTTAAAGAACACTTGGCTGAAAGAACATTGTTTGAATGACACATTAGAAGAGAAAAGCAATTTTTCTGAGCACTTCCTCTACAAAACTGGGAAAAGCAATCCCAAAAGCAACTACAAAAATTGAAAAATATTTTAAAATATCAAAGTTTAAAAACAGTAAATCTTTGAATTTCTTTTTTACCAATCATAATAGTTTTACTTCTGACACACACACACACACACACACACATATATATATATATATATATATATATATATATATATATATATAATTTTAATCCCAAATTTATTAATTACATAGGTTGCAATTTATTCAAAATTGTAAATAATAATTTGTAATTATTTAATTAAGAATTTTGTAAGAAAAAAGAATGTTTTTCAAAATCTAATGAGGGATTTAGATGACTTTACAATTTCTGATTGTAAAAAGAAACTAGTCCTTTGCAATTATTAATTTCTGTAGAAGAATCTTAAGTGTTGTTTGCAAGTCTATCCTGTATTGTAAATTGAAAGAACATTTAAGGAAATGTTTGATGACCAGAGAAAGCAAAGACTGATATCTGGCGTTCCACTTCATTGGGGAGGGGGGGGCGATTATAGAAGATCAAGCATAACTTCAAATGTCAATGAGGTTGAAGGCCATTTATGCAGACATGGCAATATTTCCAGATGTCATAGTAATAAACAGTAACAAGTAGATTTTTGCTACAGAGAACATACATTAACAAAACATTTGGTTTATCTAACACTAGAAAAATATTTTAATGGTTCTGAAGTTATTGTATTGATAGCATCTAGCATGCATACTATGATTCAAAACAATAGATTTTCCTATATGCACACATTAGATAATAAATGCTTTTTTGCTTTTATTTCTGAATACATTTGAATCTTTAATTTCCAGAAAGCAGAGCAGATAAACTTGAACATGTTCTGCTGATGGATGATGAAATCAATTACAAGGTAAGAATTAGCAGCATCTTATTGTTACTTATATTTATAAATGATCTGCCTTCTCACAAAGACAAATACACCTTCAGTTCAGGTTTAATGTGGAAAGGGCCCTACATACATATGTGTGTGCATGTGCCAGTATTACCCATTCCACCTTATTCCAATCCTACCCATTCCACCATGTTTTTGCAATAAGATTTGCTTGCCTATGAGATAGATCCAAAAGACCAGGTATCTTTCACTCATTCTGTGCCTCAGCCAAGAGTAACATAAAATTGATTTTGTTTATAAATAAGTATTTAAATATAAAAGTGGACATCCAGCAGCTACAGTCTGTTTCATGCTTAAATGCAATTGTCAGGTCATGTGTGTTGTGCTTTTGTTTGACTATTTATGTATGTTGGATAGTGGTACATTATGGGTAGGTCTGTTATTCTAATGGTTATTTGGGTTTTGGTAACAGTTATGTTTCAAATTATTCTAAGGACTATTGAGTGGAAATAATTGAATCTGAATAGTTTTGTGGATATTTTATAATGTTATTTGTTAACATTTTTACTCATTAATATTGATTATTTTATTTATTGTTGGTTGTTATTATGTTTACTTGTGTTTATCTGTACATTTGTAGTTAATTTGCTTATTATTTACTCTATTTACTTATTTAATTTTTTATTCATTTATTTAATTTTATTATTTTTTGTTCATTTTCAATTTTTAACACAAAAATTAGTTTTCATGTCTGCATTTTGAGATGAGTTCTGATAGTTTTAGTAATTTATGTTGCTCTGGAAAAATAATTATAGCTATTTTTTTATCCAGACTGAGTTTACATATTTTGGATCTATTGTTGTAGACTGATGCTGTTTTCCATATTTTCCATGATATTTTTGGTGTAAGTTGTTTTTTGTTTTTAATTTCCCAGATGTGTTTAGAAGGGATTGTGCTGTTTGCATATTTACTATTTGTAAAGGATGTTTTGTATGTATAGTTTCTTTGTTTTCAGGATCCTTCAGTTAATTCTATATATATTATTTTCTTCTTTATTTACTGATTTTACAGTGGCTTGGTATATTACATTGTTCTACAAGTAATTGCCATTTAAGGGACATTTGTTCTTTGCTCCACAGTTACATGTAGATTTGATTTGTGTGGGTGGTTTGTTGGGTGTTTTCCTGTTGTGTAAAGAAGTATTTATATAGTTAACTTTCAATAATGAATACAAAAATTGATCCATTTTTAAGCATCCAAGTTTGATGAGTTTTGACTGTTCAGAAAAAAAATTAAATATTTAAGAGGATTAGGCCTTTTAAAGAGTTTTATAAAATTGTCCATCTCTACTGACACAGCCAAGTATTATAAGTCAATAACAAGAATTAATTTCTGTCTGTATTTCTGGGATGAAGATAATGTTTTGGATATTTTGCCCTCCAACCATAATCAAGTGTATGTCAATTTGGGTAACTTAAGGGAATTTTGAACTCAAACATTTATTTTATTTATGGGGTAAATTGCTCTTGTTGCACTGCAAATGTCTAGGAATATCATGCCTCCCATTTCTTATTTTAGTACTGCTCAGTTATTGCTGGCCCTGTTTCCACTGAATCCAAGTAAACACTGGACCAACTTGTAATGACTGCGTCACCAAATTCATGAACCAATGCTTTAACCCACTAGGCTATTGTATGCTTGAACTCTGTAGAAATGGTGGAAGCAATAAAAGAACAGTACTAAAATAAGAACTAGATTAGATATCCCTAGATATGGTCAGTGGTACAAGAACAGTTGACTCCAACAGGGTTCAGTTCAGAATTCCCTGTAGGTCACCCAGATCAACACAAACCTAATGAAGGTCTGAGAGTACAATCGCCAAAACATTGTGATAACAACAATAAAAATGAAGACAACTGCCCACATGCAAATAATGTAAATAAAAAAGAATTAAGAATTTAATTTTTGGTTTTCATTTAATTTACAATTTGTTCCCCTTTTCTCTGTTTATGAACACTTTTTTAAACTGATTGTTAGTATTAAATTTTGATTTGTCGATAATTTTTGTCAAATATTTGAATGTAAGAAATGCTTCTACTTTTATTTTATAAAATTCTCATTATAATCACCTTCAAAATAAGGTTTACAAGTAAAACCTTAAATTTTTTCCAGTAGTTTATCTTTCATTTTATTGTTGTTTTTATAATGACTTTCAAGTCATAAAATGACTTGAATCTCTGACTACAAAACAAGCAGATTTAATTGGAAATAAAAAGTTATTTCTAAAAGACTGACCAGCAGGTAAATTTCAGATCTGGTTATATAGCCATTTTCATTTTTCATCTAATATTTTCTATTGATTGCACCTAATAGTGATAAAAATTTTAAATTGTCTCAGAAAATAGTTTCAAATCTATTTATTTCATGGTAATCTAAAACAACCTGAAAATTGTGATAACAGCATAAAAGAAATGAGTCAAAAATTCATAATAACCATGCTTCATCTAAGGAATTCAGACAATTTAAAACTACTACTATTATTAATGCTAAATATAAACATGTTATGGTAATGGAAATATTAACCATTTTCTTATAAGGAAACATTTGATATTTATTGACCAAGCAGCCTATGCTACTGTCAGTTGAAATTTATAAAATCTTTCTCTTAAAACAATTTTTCAGAAAAATAGTTTTTCAAGTTCAGTAGCTGTTATTGCTCTTTCCAATGTTAATGGAGGCTTCCTTCCTAACCTTTTGCTTGAAGTAGTGTGGAATGTCAACATCTTGGTTATGTCTTTCAAGTGGCATATGCTATCTGTTTTAGTTGTTACTATTGTTGAAAGTCCTCAAGTGGTGTGGTTTCTGTTATTTGGTACAATTCTTTTGTGATTCTGTAGTGCTGGTTCACAAGGTTTGAAGAAGGATGGTCCTTGCTGAAATCTACAAGCTTCATTTGCTCAAAGCTGTTTTTAACTATTGATTCAAGAAAAGGATTGTATATAGCTGACAGTTTAGATATTTCAGAACGAGGTTGATGACATGCATGACATCCATATGAAAGTCTCAATCTGAAGAGGCTATTTAAGAACCTGACTCAAGATTTTAGGTTAATGATTTTGTTTTGTAGTATCTTGCAGTATTGGGGAAAAAACTCCTAGCATAGCCTATTCTATGTGAGAAGAAAAATTGGATGAGAAAGGATTTGGCTTTCTGTCTAGATTTGAACTCTGCCTGCTGGCCAAATTGATGTCATCCATGTTGGATGAACTTTCATGGATATAGGACACAAGCTTCAAATCTTATTAAAGGCTAATTTCTGATTTATGCTGCTTGTATGAACATACAATGGGACTCTTGACCAGCTGTCCCCCAAGTGGCCAATGACTACCCCCTAGTTGCAATTCCATTCTTGTTTCATATCAGTTTACACCTAAAATTAGGAAAGGCCCATTGTAAGTTCACAAGGAAGCAAAAGGTGAAAATAAATGCCACAGTAAGGCATGAAGCCCAAATCCTGTTTCTATTATATTTAGATGTTTATTCAGGATTTCATTTGTTCAATCTAGGTTGGTGGGTTAGTAACACTTTGAACAATTTCTGCTATGTCGATTTAACAGATCAACTCTTCCTTTTGACTCTTATCCTCTGCTTATATCAACATCCTGAGACATAGCTGACAACACAAATAGGCAGCATTGGATTTGCCCAAGAGACATTCTATCCTTTACCAATGGCAAAAGACAGAACTAACTTCTTCAATCCCAATTGTGACTGTTAATATACACCAGCAACTGGAAACCATCAATGTCCAGTTTGTTGTTGCTTGACATCAAAAGCTGTCATTTATTCTTTTATTCTCCTTTGGTTGAGTGGATGCTGCTTAGAAGAAAGTGTGTCCTGCTTCAAAGAAACACCCTCTCCTTCTATTTGGGTTGCCTAATCATATACTCACTTATTGTTATCAGAATGTAATGCCATAAGATGAAACTTGTCAAAAATTTCTTGATAAAACAAAAATGCCTTGTATAAAAACAAAAGATAAAATTTGGATAATTTGTAAACACTTTATATAACGGATAAAATAAATTCAATTTTCTATCTTCTGCAGCCCAAGTTGTATAAGCCTCCAAGCAGGAAACGATTTGAATTTATGCTTCGTAATCTAAAAACACTGTGCCTCAATGAATCTGGGACTGACCAGTGGAAGCAGTTGGGACTCATTCAACAGGTACATCTAGTAATTATATCATTATAATTATGTCCTTGTAATTAAGAATTAATACAACAGTATTCATTTTTAATTACAAGAGTAATATTGTTTTACAAATATTATTGAATTTTGTATATTGCATCACCAATTATTATTAACTAGTGTATATGTACCTTCAAAACATGACAACAATATTAATATTGCAATTATATTAGTTATATTTTCTGAATGAATAATCTAGGATTTTTCTCGCTACAGTTAAATTTATTGTCACATAGGAAATAATTCTGCTTTTTTTATGATTAAAATTATTCAAAAAATACTAACAAAAGAAATAAAAAGCAATTGATTAGTAACCTGTTCACATTACTCACTAACAAGATGTTCTATTATTGGGGGAAACATGAAGTATATTAGCTCATTGGCATCAATTAATATCTTCTATTGCCATAACAATGGAATATCTCATTAAGTAGGGGAGATCAGACTAGATGAGCAATAAAGTCACATCATGTTTTAGAGAATAGATTTTTAATTGTTATTTCTTCCATCTTTTTTTGTTGCTTTTTATTGCAAATGTCAGTTTGATTTTTATGTCTGGTAAACCGGCCGAATCAGAAGGGATTCTTGCCAACTGCAAAAGAACACATCTTACGCAACATCCTGCTAACAGACTGAAGACTCCAGGGTCTACCAAAAGCTGATTCATCTGACCAGGTGTCACATTGCCAGTCTCCCATGATCCAATGGCAGCATTTTCTTGTTCAGGTGAAGTGCTGTAAATGATGCTCTGCTATCAATAATCAGTACACCGTTGTTGACTGATAACTATAAAACCTGTTGGATTGCACTGTACAGTAGATTAACGGATGAGTTGAGGGACACAAGCACTTGGGATGGGATTTGATGCAATGTTCCTCTCCATTGGGTGGTTGTCATTTTTGGCCATTGTACTCTTCGTCCTTCTTCAGGTGGTTGGAATCTCCAACTGAACCCTTTATTTTGCTCACTGGGGTAGACTGTTCTAGTTCCATGTGCCATGTCTAATGGATGTCAGTTATCCACTGTGCCATGTGTCGTTAGAAGAAGGCAGGAGAGTACAATGGTTGAAACGTTGTAATAAATATGGCAACAAAGGTGAGGACAATAGTCCAAATAATGTAAATAGTGTAAAATGAATGTATGCAATTGATGTTCAATAATTTCTTTCTTTTTTTTTTTTCTCCAGCATTTCAGTCAGGATTTAGCCATTCTAAAGATGCACAGGCTGGAAAAAAGTTTAGCAGGTAAAAAAAAAAATTCTGCTTTCTTCTTCTTCTTTTCCTGTTATTGATTTCAGTGATTGTTTTTGTATTTTGCTGACTTGCAATCTTCATATGACAAGCCATTCAAATATTGATCAGATTTTATATTTGTCATGGTGATCAACCCATACCACTCACTTTTACAGATACATTGTTCTGGCATGTAAGCACCAAAAACAAATTAGACAAGCTAACATGTAAGATGAGGCTGTCCATACAAGCAATTCTATACTTTTGCATTTCTTCATGACTGATTTGTTCTGAAATAATGAAATTTACCCAAAATGTCTTGGGTTAGTGTACTAGCTATTCATTAAGTCTCTGGCTTCAATGAATTAGTTTGTTTACTATTTCATTCCTTTGAAAAAAATGTATTCATTTTTATTATCAGACAATTGGTAGCTTCCTTTGCAATCTGGTGGTTGGTTTGTACAGAGGTAAATGAAAGAAAACTTATAATTACTGGCATACTTTTTATTTTTTAAATGCCATGTCCATTCAGGACATAGGTGATCATGACTTTCCAGATTTTACTTCATTATCTTTGAATTGATCTGCATTCTTGGAAAAGATAATTAGATGGTTACCTATTGCCTTCTCCACATTGTGGATTTCAGTTTTCCTCTTAGACTTGTTACACAAGTCTAGAGAGTTTGGTCTACCCTACTATTTAAAGCTGCAGGTAAGAAAAAACAGATTCATGTCTTTCCTAAGAGTATTTGCATGAAAGTGAATGCAACAGACTAATCCAGAATTTGAATTTGGCTTGAAATGTTTTATCAGTTTGGTTTCACTTTTAGCACTTGTTGATGATGAAAAGGCTTTTGACACTGTTAGGCACTTGGCAATCTCTGAGTAGCAAAAAACACATAAGTTATTGAAAATGTATTCAGTAACAGTAATGCAATAATTCATCTGTAGAAAGAGAGAAGATAAAATAAAGATTGACAAGGGATACATTTCCAGCTAAACTATCTACAGCATGTTTTAAGATATCTTCCAGAAAATTAGCTGCAAAATAATGGGTCTAAATGGAAAATATTTAAACCTGATACAAATTGCCAACATTTTACTAATATCCAAATCATTGGATGAATAAGGAAAGTCTTGAGAAAGATTTAAAACTGAACAGAAATAAAACAAAAATAATGATCAATTGTAATGTTCAGAAAAAAGAACAAAATTGAGAACAAAGAACCAAAAATCCAGGAATCCATCTGCTTAAAGCAGGAAAGAATATTAAAAACTATTGAAATAAAATGTATGTCAATTGATTGAAAAGCATTTAATAAACATAATGAAAAGCACCTCATCAACATATGTAAAAATGTAACATATACAATGACTGTATTATTATTTGCTATTTATATCTGAAATATAAAAATGAATAAAATCATCTGAAAAACTGAGAGATACTCAAAGCTCAATGGAATGTACAATGCAATAAATAACTGTAATAAAAAAAAATATGAATAGATCAAACAACAGATCAATTAAAGAGCTATCCTAGATGTGATTAAATGACAAAATTGGAGGTGGGTGGGACATGCAGCAAGAAGAAAGGATAACAGAGGGAACAAAAGTTGTTTGATTTCCAATTGTGTGACAAATGCAATAAAAGAATTTAGAAGATGAACAAATGAGATAGAGAAGTTTGCTGGTAAAAGCAGCATGGGAAAATACGGAAAAGACCTTTGTTCTGTAATGAACTCATAATAGCTATTGGCATAGAATTGTTCTATTCTGACAGAAACACTCGCTTTAATTTCTGCTCACTAACTTTTATTATTTTCTTTTATTTTCAATGCAAAATATGAGGTGATGCTGAAATGTTAACCAGCTCATTTACTTTCCAAAATCTAAATGTCCAGATATTAAATTTTTGGGGAAAAGCTTTTTCATTGGACTGAACTTTTTAGCATCCTCTTGGTGTTGAAATTTGTTCAAAGAAAATTCAGGCCAAAAATTACAAAACTTGGTACTGAATCATGAAATTGTTTTTCCTGAGGCTTATTCCTTACCTGACTCCTTCCTACACACACTCTCATGACACATAAGCTTTGTGATGTCTTTATTTCAGCTCAGAATGTTTTCTCACTTATCAAAAAGCCTTCACTGTATGAAGGCTACTGGTTCAGACAAAATTCTTTTGGTTATTCTTAATAACCTTGGCTCAAAGCTTATCTCCAATCTTGGCAAAGCTGTTTAAGTGTTGCCAAAAATAGAAATGTTTTCCAAGCCCCTGGAAGGTGTCAGCTGTATGTCCTGTTTACAAGAATGTGGGTGAGCACTTCTCCCTGTCACAATATCACCACATCAGCCTCCTTAGTGTCATCAGCAAATTTTTTTGAAGCTATCATCAAGAATGTTGTTGATCACCTCAATAGAAACCACTTCCTCATTGCCAAACAGTATGGTTTTCACTCATCTAGGTTTACCATTGATGTCTTAATTATCATCATCTATAGGATCAGTGAAATGCTTGATAATAAACTGATCTTGAGATTGATCCCCCTTAGATATCTCAAAGGCCTTTGACAAGGAGTGACATACATGACAGCTACACAAACTCTCCAATTATGGAATATTTGGAAGAGTCTTCTCAGTTATCAAGTCTTTTCTGTCAGGTCTATGAAGGTTGTTAATGGTCAGTCTTCTGAAGCACATAAAATACATTGTGTCTCCCAAGTCTGTCCTACTCTCTTTCTGCCTTTATATTAATGATCTAAGAACTTTTCAGATCATTAGTAAATATATATATATATATATATATATATATATATATATATATATATATACACACACACACAGATGATACCACAGTTTATGATTGCACCTCCAAAAATCTAAATGACCAGAGCCTGGTAGCTAATATCACCTTGCTTGTACAGCTCAACAGGGGGGGAAAAGTGTCTTGTAACATTTCAGACCTTAAGTTTTCTCCAGTACTGATTAACAGTTGTGCTCTCAATGAGACTCCTTGCCCCAAATGTCTGTTGGGATTAAAGCTCACTTCAGACCTCAAGTGGAATTTGTATATTCATGACATTACTAAAGATGCTTGAAGAATTGGTTTCTTGTGCCATTCCAGAAAGTACCTAACTCCCACTGCCAAGGTCTATCTGCACAACAATCAGATCAGACCAAGAATGGAATATTGCTGTCATATCTGGGCTGGGAGTGCTTAGTCCTCACTGTGCCAAGCTTGACAGAATTCAAAAATGATTATGTAGTTTTTGTAGGTGATGAATTATTTTCCTTCCTACAACCCCTTTACCCACAAATGAAACATTGCTAGCCTCTCACTACTCTATCATTATTACTATAGCAAATGTTCAGACAAGCTACATTGCGTAGTTCAACTAGTTCAGACCTTCACAGCTAGGATCTGCCATGCCACATACCTAGCATCAATCATACTCATTCCTTTCATATTTTTTGGTAAGGAGGAAGTTCTACTTCTTCTCCAGAATAGTTCTGGGTATAACGATAAACTGTATCTGGCAGCAAGAGAGATTTGAGGTTTTGAGGCACATGGAAATAACTTTTAATTGCTGTTATTCCCAGGTCCACTCTGCTACAGTCATAACCTCTTTAAGTCTAGTGTCAACTGAGATATCCTACATATCCTCAAAATATGCACTACTTCCTCCTCTCTTCACACCCTTACAACAATCTCATTCATAACCCTCTATCTTGAGTGGCAAAAAAAAAAGAAAGAGTGAACCTTAAGGAAGAAGTGGTGGAGTAGTAGTAATGTCAGTGGGCAGCAGTAAGTAGTTAGTACCATGCTTATGCCTACTGGGATTAAATGTAATCATCAATGTTGAATTATAACTGTTATTATATATTCAGATTAATGTCCTCACCTTTGTTATCACAGTGTTTTAGCCATTGTACCCTCTGTTCTTATTTGGGTATCTGTTGATCTAGGTAACTGTCAGGGGATTTTGAAATGAACCCTTTATTTAATCTACAAGGAGTAGATTATTCTTGTTCTGCTGTCCATGTCTAGTGATATCTCATCTCTACCACCACTATCACACACACACACACACACACACACACTCTGGGTATGTGTCTGTACTGCCTGCTCCAGGGATTGAAATCACAATTATTATGCCAGCAAATTCACAAACCAACTCCTTAATTCTCTAGGCTGCTGTTCTTTGCGATAATTCAAAAGCTAGGACTTGGATTCTTAAATCCAATGTTTCTATTGCCTGTTTACTGCTACCACCTTGCTGTTATGTTTAACTTCTTTGCTGCCATGTCTCTTTTATTCAGAATGTAAATAACTCCTCATCCCAGAAATGCCGACAGAAATTACAGCCATTATTTTTTTCTTGCCTATTTGAACTGGCTAATAATTACTTAATAAATCATAAATTATATAAGCAATTTAAAAATGCAATACAACCGCTGGCAAAAATGATGGAATTAGTGCATGGAGATGATGTTCACATTAGTTTTATTTAAAAGAATCTAAATTAATAACTACACAATTTTTTCATTTAATAGCTATACAATTCTAGCTTCATAAAATATACTTTTAACCAAATTAGATTAAAGTATTTGGATTAATATTTTTTCTCCAAGCCATACAGAAGAAAATATGTTATCAGTTACTATTATTTTTTGAATTAATAACTTTTACTAAAATTATTATAGAACTTTCCAAATTAAAAATGCTGACTTCCTTACAATTAGACTCTTCCTCTAAGACTAAAACAAATGGAAAGGCAGATATGGCAGCTAAATAATCACTAAAAATGAACATCTCAAAAGCAAAAGTCTCTCACACAGATTTTAAAATGGCTATTGTTACATGTATCTTAAATAAGTGTCAAGAGTTATGGAATACTCATCAAAATAATAAATTATACAAAATCAAATCTACACTTGGGATAAGACACCATAACCCAGTCTTTCCTGAAAAGAAGTAGTAATCTTAGCAAGTATCACAATTGGTCATACCAATATCACACATTTATTACTTCTAAAAGATAAGGATCCATCTAAATGCATAGTATGCCAGGAGAGATACACAGTAAAACATTTTATTATGGACTGTGCGGAATTTAGCCCTATCCGTAAACACCTTTATAAAAGTGAATAGCCTTAAGGAACTTTTCAAAAACAAATGTAAAAACCATTTTGAGGAAAATTAAATTATACATCAAATTTTAACCCAGACAACTTCACCTATGGATGCAACTATACGACCAGTTTTCAAGTATATTTCATGAATTATAAAACATTTTATCAAATAAAAATCCATTTTTCAGCATTAAAGGATCAAGGCAGTTGATAGGTTGGTAAACCAACTAACAGAAAAGTTCATCTCCTGCCAGGGGGCAGACTAGAACTCTCCTTCATCCCCAGCATGACTGTTAATATAGACCAGCCAGCATCTGGATGCATCTTATTTCCAGTTCTATTGTAACTTGATCTCCAAAAATTCCTCATCTACTCCTTTACTTTCCTGTTTCCCTTCAGTCAAAGTCGATGCTGCTTAAAAGACCAAACTTCAAAAGGAACTGTCTTCTAGCTATTAAACAGAAACACTTGAGATCAAGCTAAAAACCTCCTCATCACTTTCTTCATAAAATCAGTTTCAATAATAAAGTAATTAAAATGAAGATAAATGAAATTCTAAAAATAATGATTAACAATGCTCCATCAGATAAAACTTAAAGATAACTTTACTGTCTCCATCTGCTCCATAAAAAAGGGGAGGTGGTTTTTGTTTTTTTTCATGACTTTTAACGCATTCTGTATGTATCTAGGGAAATATAACAGAAAGTTACTGTCGTTTTTGTTTTTTTTTTTATTTCCAGATCCTTCATGTGCTCTCGTCACATTTGGTGGATGTATTACAAATAATTTCTTACATGGTTTATACAGGTGAGAGATGATATTTCCATAAAATTTAATTCTACCTCTTTCAGAAATTGCTATTTCTGTTACATCTATTGAAATTTACTTATACTGTTGATGTTTTAGAAATTGTGAAAATAGAAAACACAGCCCATCAAGTATGAAAACAAAAGCAAATAATACAAACATAATACAACAAAATGGAAAAAGATTTGAAGAAATGCTTTTTAAAAAAGTTCATTATGCATGGACATAAAAGCTGGATTGACCATTACCTTGTTCATGCAAAGGTGAAGATTTTATAAAACTGAAAATAAAAACCAAGGATGTTACCATTCCAAAGAAATTGAATAGTCTGAGAGAGGATGTTATGAAGGAAGAGCTAGTGAAGAGAAGGGATGACATTCAATGCAATGACTCTTTGGAATAGTTCAAATCCTCTGTTTCATGCATCTCTAAAAATGTTCAAGGTTTAGTGTGATTTAAAAAAAAAAAAAAAAAAAAACATCAAGGTATCTGTGTGTGTGTGTGTGTGTGTGTGTGTGTGTGTGTGTGTACACACAGGGTGCGATGGGTAAATTGTCGCCATTATATATTTTTAATTTTGTGTTTGTTTTTGTCAACTGCACAGTAGAGTAGGGTCAGTTAGGCAGTGTCAGTGAGAAAAAGAGTGCCATAATGCAATTCACTCTACCAGAAATTTGGTATTCATGCCGGAAGCTCCAATACAAACATTTCAGAAAGTTTATATGCCAATCTGAGGACAGTGCAGAGGATTCTGAAATGAAAAACTGGCACTATATCAAGTATGGTTTGTTACCTTTCCATCACCAAGACCCATTGGTCCAGTGGGTATGGCGCTTGCGTCGTATCATAATGGTGCAGGTTCGATTCTTGGTAGTGGATGCGCATTGCTGATGACCCCCAAAAACAGGACATTACATAATCTTCATTTAATACTTTGTAGAACAGCTGTTATTCACTTCTACAGCAACCAACCTCTTGTAGTTCTCAATTAATGATTTACAAAGTTTAGTTGGTATTTTGCATATGGTCCTTCAGATCCAGGATGCTTGCTGGAGTTCTCAGTTGGATTTGAATTTTCAAATAACACCACAGATTCTCAATTATGTTTAAATCTGGGGATTGACTTGGCCATTTCAGGATATTGACTTTATTTTAAGCAAGCCATTTCTTCATAGATTTTGAAGTGTGCTTAGGATCATTATCTTGTTGGAATATCTAAATGGGAGAAAGTTCAAGATTTTCAACCGAAATCATTAAATTTGCTTCCAAAATATTTTGATATGCAGTGGTATTCATTCTACCATCTATTACTGATATGTTGCCAGTACCTTTTGCAGAAAAAATCCCCAAACAATGATGCTGCTACCACTAAATTTCACTCTTTTGTTTGAAGGCATTGCTATCTTTCCTCCTAGAATTTCTAGAATTACGTCCAAACAACTTAGTTTTGGTTTCGTCTGACCATAATACTCTTTCCCAATATGATTTTTTCTTATCCTTATGTTCACGAACAAATTTCCATGTCTTTTCAAGAGCATTGTAGTTTTACAAGGAGAGTGTGACTTTAGATTGTTCCTGTTCTTTATGTATTGCCATGATAACCTTGCACAAATATCAGTTACAGAATATTCTGTTTGTATTTTTTAGGCTAAAAATAACTACTGATAACATTATTGAAACAATCTAGAATATTCCACTTGAATAATCTAGAGTATTAAAGCAATTTAAAAGTTTTAAACTCTGAAATTTGCACTGTACAAATACTTTTTTCACCCATGAAAATAGATAAATGGGGTTTATTTCTATTAAATCAAAATTTTCTGTTTTCTATGCATATTTAGTGTACAGTTTCTATGCATCTGTGTACAGTTAATTATATGAAAAGTATGTTTATTCATTAGTTGGAAATACAATAAATTAAAAATGTGCACAAATATTTGTTTCCCCCCACTAATATATATATATATATATATATATATATAAAAAATAATAAAAAATAGGATTTTAAGGTATACTATATTTATGGGTTTATAATGCTCAATATCTGAGCAATGACAGTCTTTCATGGTTGAATGTAATCTTCAGACCAAGTTAGATAATATCTCAACTATTTTATATGGTAGCCATTGGGGCATTATGGGTAGCAAGGTTAGTTATTTCTGGTTTATTGTATTATTTTAAAGGCAATTGAATAGGTGGGAATTGTTATTTTAAATTATTTTAATGACTATTGAATAAAAAATAATTACAGGCCAACATATGGTTATTTTATGGCTATTGTAAAGGGTTGTTTATTAACTATGAAATCAGTATTTATTTATTTATAATTACTCTAGAGTAGTTTGTATTTATTTATTTATTAATTATTCACTACTGATTATTATTATTATTAAATTTTCTTAGTTGTGATTTTGCATGCATTCATACATATTTAATTATTTCCTTTGTTTATTTATCCTATTTCATTATTGTTTGGGTATACAAGATATTCAGTTTTAGTTTTTGATTTTTAAGCATCACATTAAAAATGTTTTCATATCTGCATTTTTAAATAAGGTTTTAGATTTTATTTAGTAATTTGTGTTAGTCTGGGAAGGTGACTATAGCTATTTTCTCCTCCAGACAAAGTTTACAGTTTTAGGTGTTGTAGGCTGGTGCTGTTTTCCTTATTTTTCATATTTTTTTTATGTATTTTACTTTTTGCTTTTAATTTCCTTTATATGTTTAGAAAGAGTTATTCTGTTTGTATATTTTCTGTTGTTAAAAGATAAGTAATTAATAATAAATAATGATTTAAGTTAACAAAAAACCCTATATAATAGCTATAAAATAACCACATTTTGGCTCACAATTATCTTGATTCAGTGGCTATTAGAATAATTGAAAATAATCATTACCACTTATTCGTTAGCCATTAGAATAATACAATAAACTGGAAATAACTAACCTTGTTACCTATAATGTAACTATGACTAGCATATATAGTCAAGCGACATATAATCTTACTTCTTAAGTTAATGATTGAATAAGCTCATGGTAAATTGTACAATAATAAAATATCCATAAAAATTCCCTTATCACATCATTAAATATTTGAGCTTATATCTTTAGCAAAATATTAGAATAACAATCATAAATATGAATGCTGATCATTATTTTAAGAAATGGGTACAAATGAAAAGATTTAAAATTGACATTTTTCCATTTCACAGAAACAGCCATTAAATACTTCTATCTGCTTTCTTTCATTTTCTAACTGAAACTGAATAGTGTATGTCCTTTTTTTTTTCTATACAGTCAAAATGGAATAGTCCATTATTTATGAGGGATTGGCAGGAGACCTTAAACACTTCTATCTTCCCTTATTTCTTTCTAGCTAAATCCTGACTTACAAACATTTCTCTTACTAAGAATTTTAAAATAATTCAGCAGATGATGTTGTTTTATTTATAGGGACAGGATTTTTGGTGATTGCTTTGCTCCATTTCTGTCATTTGATATTGTATATCTGAAAAATGGCACTTTTATTATGGTCACCATTGGATCAAAATGGAATGGTCCATTATTTATAAGTTATTGGCTGGTCATAACAGTCATGCGAACTAATGAAAGGAGAGACAAGCACAATTATAATAGGATGAGGAAATGAGTTTTGCTCTTTGGATTAGGTTACTATTGACAAGTTTTATATTTTTCAGGGCAATATATATGTATATAAATTTTAATGTGTATGTGTTTAAAATTTGTATGTTTATGAGGTTGAGAAGAATAATACAAGAGATAGAATTTTTAAAAATTAAGTTGTGTGATGAAAATGACTTCCAAAAACCAGTAAAGAAGTTCCTCATCTATATCAATCAATTTTGATTCTTTTCTTGGTTTCAGGTGCGATTTAGAATCAGAATTTGGAACATCGAAAAATCTCAGGTCCTCTGTTGAAAAATTCTCTGCTAAGGTGAGCATAATTCTCAATTGCAAATACAAAACTTTTGGTTAAACAATGAAATACAAGACTTAATCCAAAATTGACCTCAAAAAGGGAGATCATTGGAGGTCAGTGTTATCTGTTTTTTTTCTCCTCTTTTCTGGCCAAGTCACCTTCTCCCGGCATAACATTTACCTCCAAGAATGTAATTGTTTGAGTGAAATACAAATCATAGACGCTACAAACTAATTTACCTCCAATGACTTCTGGTGACTTCAGAGGACAAATTTATTCTTATCTGCCAAATTGTTTGTGGTTTATACCTGACAGTAATCTCTGTTTCACACTCTGCTTTCCTAAGATATACTTAATTTGTCCTAAATGACATTCTGTACTCTTTGATAACTTCAAATGACCTACAAGTTCAACCACACATAAGCCTATATATAAAGAAAGGGTGGATTTTTTTTTGAATCTGTCTATATTTCTAAGATGAGGTATTATGTACATTATTTACATTATTGGGACTATTGTCCTCATTTTTGTCACCATATTTATTATGTTTCGGCCGTTGTACACTCTGGCCTTCTGGATCTAACCAACACCTTTATCCACTGTGCTGTGTCCTTAAAGGCGTTGGTTAGATCCAGTGACAGGACCCAAAGAGTGTGAGTTTGATACCTGGTTAAGGCAGTGGAGAACTTTCAGAGGGAAATTAGCAGGAGATAACTGATAACTGACATCCATCAAACATGGCACGTGGAACTAGAACAGTCTACCCCAGTGAGCGAAATAAAGGGTTCAGTTTGAAATTCCAACCACCTGAAGAAGGCCAGAGCATACAAACGTTGTGATAAATATGGCAACAAAGATGAGGACAATAGTCCCAATAATGTAAATAATGTGGATTTTTTTAATTTATTAATTTGACAAATTTTTATTACTATAATCTGTGTTTAAAGGCACAATTTGGCTTTGTTTGGTCTTTCATGCACTCTGTAGCCAAGAGGTCAAAGCATGTCAGAAAAGAGGAGAAAAAATATGTACTCTCCAGCAGGATTCAAACGGGTTTGAATCCTGCTGGAGAGTACATATTTCTCAAATATTCAGGCTTGTAGACAAAAATAAATATTTATACAGTTTAATAAATAAACAGAGCATATACTCAAATACGAATATCCATTAAAAATAACATTTAGAGCCTATAATCTATTATTATTTCTGTGATGTATTAAGAAGCAAGAGTTAACTCCCTTGTAACTATTTATAGAGAACAATCGGATTTCAATAAAGCATAGTGCCTGTGGCTACTAGCAATCAGTGTTAGTCCCACTATGGATTGTTACAGATAAGCATACAGTACTTTCTCTTTTGCTGTGATGTACAAACACAGAAACTTTGTCATAATATAAATAAAACTTGAACATTACTTATTGTCATATAGGAAGAAAATGAGTAACTAACAACACAGAGCTTCACACATGACACTGGGGGGGGTGATATAAAATTGCCTGTGAGCCCAAATAAAGATAGTCATAGAAGGTCTGCTAACATTTGAAAATGAAAGACATGATATCTGACAGGTGGAACAAAAATGGACAACAGAACGAGGATATTTAAAATTGATACAAAATTTATTTAGAATGCAGACCAGAATCCTTGTTAGTTAAATTAGTAAGTCCACAGTTAGAAGGTTATGTCTGGTGAAAGTGTTGAAAAGTTGCTGGTTAAGTACAATGAAGAACCTTCTGTAGTATTTTAACTGAAGTGTACAGAGTAGGCTATTTGAATTCTGGACAATATAGCCAAAGAGAAGAAAGTTCAATGTCCAGTGCTGGTGTTGTATAGCTGCTGATCAAATCCAATGGTGAACATTCCATAGTATTTTAACTGAAATGTACGGAATAAGCTGTTTAAAGTCTGGACAATATGCATGCATCAATTTCCTAAACCAGGTTGAGAGGAAAGGTGGAAGACCTAGTGTCCATTAGCTCCATTAACACAGTGAGTTAGGTCAAGAAGTAAATAAAGGTCTGTGTTAGCTGGAAGTAGTAAAGGCCAAGAGTGCCAGTAGTAGCAAGGGCTAGAAATGCCAGAAGATAAGGGTCCGTTGTAAGCCAGAAGTAGTAAAGACTGAGAATGTCGAAAGTTGTCGAAAATAATGAAGGGCAAGAATGCTAGAAGTAAGAAAAGATAGGAAAGGCCAATTAGTGTTTAGTTGGCAGACAAAAATAAATGGTTATGTAAATCAATAAATAACCCGTCCAAGCTCCTGAGGAGGAGAAAAACAGGCCAGGGGCCTGCATTTCTCCTCCTCCACTTCCCCTCCTTGAATTTGGCGAAAAGTCGCCGACTTATATGGAAAAGAAGTGTAAGCATTAACTGGTCCTGCAAAGTGCTAAAAATCTCAAAAAAAAATAAACTGAGATGTCTTACGAAATATAAAAAATACAAAAATGTTTGCAAAGTGCATTATGACTAGATTCGTAACATGGAAAGAACTACAAAGTCATTAGGCTTATTATGAAACTAAATAAACTTAAATTGAAGGATGTGTGGCAACGCAATGAAGAAATGGTCATGATCGTAGCATCTGCCCTTAGTCACATGGACAGAGTAGTGAAGAGCTACAATAACACTCTGGACTTATAAATATGGGTTTTCCGCCAGGTGCATAAATAGTGGTGTCAGACTACTGACTGGAGTTGATTATTGAGTGACTATTGAGTGGAACTATCTAGTTGAATTAGTGTGAATTATTGTGTGTCAATGATTTGGGTTTTGATTTTGGATTTACTGAACATTGAGCTGAGCCACGCTACTAACAAGATATTCACTGAAATGGTTATCTTTGGTTGACTTTTACTTCTTTGTTCTCGTTAAGTATTTATTTGTGGTTGTAATTAAATACTGTTTTATTTTAACATTGGAGTCTTGACTTATACTTAATTATTAACAGCCACCGTAATTCACAAAACTTATGTAATCATTAGAATAAATGACAGTTTAACTATTTGTATAATAAATCCTACCTATGATATCACAAATTATATAAACAGCTTGGGCAATTAATAAGCATGTTATTTGGCATGTAGAAATTGAAGAAATATCTTTCTAGAATTTTATTTGTTCATTACCAGAAAGAAATTTTTAATTGCAGATTTGTTTTTTTACACAATTTTGTTTAAAAATAGAAAAAAAATGAACCAAATTTCATTCCCTACATTTTAATGTGAACTTTTATCTCCAAACTGACATAAGTGAAAAAAGGTGGTAATACAAATTGATTAATTAAATAAGAACTTAATATAAATACCAATGTTTAACTTTAAATAAATAGGTTTATAAAAAGCAACAATTAAGAAAATACACATATTAGTCATGTGTGGGTTCTACTTTCACATCAAATGTTTTGTTGATCAAATATTAATTCATGTACAACAAATATATTTTGGGACTTTTTCAACCTGCCCTTTTTTCTCACTACTCACCATATAATTTTTTAATTCTGTCAGCTATTAAAATATTAACATGAAAAATTTCAAAGTCTAATGATAAAAATATATGATTCACAGGTGATTTAACACTTGATTTATTATTTGATAATAAGTCTTTTTCTCTTTCATTTTTCCTTAAAATTCTGTCAATTGATTTGTTGATGTCTGATAAACAATTTCTTTTTCTTTCAGTCAATTATGACAAATGCAGGTAAAAATGTTTTGACCAAAAGCTTGTTTTGCAGTTTGACACAATTTGTGTCAATGCTTACACAGATTATTGCCATTGTTCCGGTTGGTTGATATTTATACCCAGTTATTTTTTTCTGTCCAATTTTATGTTTGAATGAAAAAATGGCCCCACCACCAACCATTTTTTTTTTCCTGTTTATAAATTTTTTTTCTATTTGTAACCTGTCAGCATATTTCTTCGCTTACCAATTATTTTTTACTGCGCATTTTCCTTTTTTTTTCTTTTCCTTTCACTTTTTTCCCTACATATTAAGGAAATCTCTTTTCATAAATTTCTTTTGCATTCTGATTTAAGCCAGCTGCAATTAATGGATTCTTTTTCTTTGTCTATTTTTGGGATGAGGAGTTACCATTTTTTACATTTGGGCTTGTGTCCTTATCTTTGTTGTTATTATCACAACATTTTGGCTATTGTACCCTCTGACCTTTTGCTGGTATCTGTCAATCCAGGTAATCTTCAGGGAATAAAGGGTTCATATCAAAATTCCCTAAAAGTTACCTAGATCAACAAGTACCTGATGAAGGCTGAAATGTTATGATAATAACAACAAAGATGAGGACAATGGTCCAAATGTAAATATTCCTTTCTTATTTATTCTCTAATATTCATCACTAAAGATGAATTTCTTCTGCACACAATCGTTTTTTGGTGGTCAAAAGAAATCAATGGTAAATAAACGAGTTTCTTTGCATTCTTGGGATTAGTCTATTTTGGGCAAGTTTTGTTTGTCTTTATTTTTTTTAGCATTTATTTGTGTGTCTTTCAAAACACGCCTTGTTTATGATGTCTCTTACCAATTGCATCTGCCAGAAAAGAAGCTATCTACAAATTCTACAGTCATAAAAATTAAAATGTTTTTTATTTTCTTTTTTCTTTACTTTTTATAAAAGACATAAAATGGATAATGACCTAATGTACAGATATACATACATTGAAAGAAAAAGTAAATTTACTCTCAAATTACTTTTCCCTGTCAGCTGACTGCATCCTCTGCCAAAGGGTAAGACTTCATCCACCTAAAAAAGATGTTACCTTCTGGGTAGATACTTCCAGACTGAATTATCAACCAAACCTAATGTTTGCCTATAAATACAAGTATAATAAAAACAGATTTTGATAATTCATAAAATCCTTAAACCTAACCTAAAATATCCATAGAAATTTAAATATGTGGGAAGTGTTCTAACAGAAGATGGAAAGTGCAACACTGAAATCTGAAGACATACTGGGATGACCAAAGACTAATTCCAAAAGATAAACATATTATTACAAGACAGGAAAGTTCCGTTGGAAACAAAAGATTACTGAATTGTTACATGATAGCTGTCCTCCTGTATGGCAGTGAATGCTGGACAATCTCCCCAATGTTGAAGAAGACTCAAAGCAACAGAAATGTGGTTCTACAGGAGCATGGTGCCAAACATCTAAGCAATAACGAGGTTTTGGAGAGAATGGAAACAAAGAAGAAACATACTTAACATCAGGAAGAGGCAACTCAATTTTCTGGGATATGTAATGAGGAAGGAGGGCTTAGAAAATCTGATACTCACAGGATTGATAGAGGTACAAGGGAAAGCAACACATGACATAATTAATGGGCTTGAGCAAATGAATGGCAGAACAGGGTCTGGGAGAAATAACAAAATGACAAAACTTATTAAGAGCTACAAGGGACAGGATAATGTGGAGGGCCTTGATTGCCAATCTCCTGAAGGGACACACCACATAGAAGATGAGTTGATGAAATTTCCTGATAAGTAAATTGATACAAAATGCAAGTAAATTGGATGTTGATATCACAAAGGATCTAAGAAGAGTTAAAAAAAAGAAAAAATATTTATTTAAAAAAAAAAGTGTTTTGTAGAATATACCCCCCCTCAAAAAAACCTGTTTTCATCTGAGCCAAACAGTGAACATAGATGAATTTCCATCCAATAACATTTTTCTTTAGCATTTGGAAATGGAGCATCATTTGTGATTGTTTTACTTACGTGTGTTGCATATACAATTAAATATATTTATTAGATTTCACAGCATCAAAGACACCAGTTTTTTTGGGAGGGTTTTTTTTCCATAAAAAATAAGTCTAAAAAAATTGATCCTATGAACTCCAGGCTGAAGGTTACTTTTTAATTTTACTTAATTTTATGTTCTTACCTTTTTTGCTCAAAAAGGTTGCAAGTCAAAATTGGAGTGTGTGTTTGAAACCTTGAACCATCTTGGGAATTGCAGAATTTGTGGATATAATTGTACTTAATTATTAAGTCAAAAATCTTGGGACATTTTTCCAATTCCTTCCCATATTTTTTTATTTCAAGTTTTTATAACAATATTAACACTTTAGAAAATTTGCTATCTGAATTCATTATCAGCAAAATGGGAAAAGCAATGAGGAGAGAGGTATAGCAATGAACCTCAAAGAAAGTAAAACCTCTTTCATCTGATGAAAGACGTGATTTTCTTCAAATTGATATGTTTATTTCAATAAACAATTTATTTTTCTGTCAGATTTTATCAGTATTTCATTTTACAATTATCTATCATCTTTTTCTTACTGGATGACCTTTTTCGGATTTTGAAAATGTTTTTACAAATGCTAAGATTCTTTCTTTTTTTTTAAATTAAAATATACACGTATTATGTACTTCTCTCAACTGATTATTATGCAACAAATTGATTATAACAAATTAGAATTATTTAAATTTTAATATTGATGGCATCAAAATTAAATTCCAATTTTATATATTGGAGGTGCTACCAAAAATTTTGTGAAATTTAAACTGGATGATCAATCTATTCATATGTCAATTTACCCACAGTTTCCTGTGTCCTACCAGACCTTTCACGCACCTAAAAATCACAACACTCATTTTCTACCGGTTTTCTTTTTTCATTTCAAAAAAAAAATTATTTCATTCCTTAAGTTCCTGAACTTTTGTGTAGAACCTCAGAAATGTGTACAAACACCTACACGTGGATTTACTTTTATTTTCTTTTTATTTATTTTGCTTGTGTTCTTTAATTAATGAATCTTTTATTTTCTTTCTTTCATTATCAAATCACAGAATGACACTATGAATGAACTGACAAGAATATCCATCCATTCAATGCCTTCAGAGGATGCAGCAGCATCATCATCTTCCTGTCTTAACTTAAACTCTGACCTATCACAATCAACTGAAAGTTCACTCACATCATCATCATCTCATCCAAATCTTATTCCTAATCCCAAATTATCTCCTCATCAGCAAAATGAAGAATGGATCATCTTTCCATCAAGCCAAAATGAACCAGAGTCGGCATCAGAACAGAAGTAATGTTTCTTTTCTTTTCTTCAACTAAGTTAGGGTTAATAATTTTTTCTACACTAAAATTTTAGCTCAATTTTATATTTATAAAAATCCAACTTAATAATGGCTACCAGAAATGATTGCTTGTTTATAGAATCAACTCAGTTAATTCAAATCTTTGTTTGTACAGTAAACTGTCTCTCTCTTCTCTCTTTGAAAAAATATAAATTTTAGCATCAGCCTTTTTTCCAAAGATAATAGCAAAAACCAAAAATGACAATGTACATTTCCCTTGCACATTACCGAATGCATAACTAATATATGCAATCTGGCCATTTTTAATCTCTCAAGAAATGATTGTGCAACATTGTAACTTGGCAAATAATTAGAGGGGATCTAACTGTATATGCACAGACACTCTCCTATGGAGTTACTCAGTTGGCAGTGAGTCACTATTGAATTAGTTTGCATAATGTATGACTATTGCATTCTTAGTGAATGTTGCATTGAGCTTTGTTTGAAACTTGGATATTAGTCTGCAGAATCTATTTAAATGATTAAGACTTTTTTTTTTTTTTTTGGTGCAGGGACTGATTCAATGATCAAAGCAGTGATCATAAAAGTCACATGAAAGCTGCACAGTAGAGCAGGGGAGGGTGAAGAGTTGAGAATTTACCTATATTGTATAAATATCAAGTAAGATGTAAAATCAAAATGTATTAATACTGACATCAGAAATGAAAAAAGGGAGTCTGTTTATTTTTCCTCTCATTTTTTCTCTCCTCATTTGACACAAAAGTTGTTTGCATTTATTTATTGATAACTTTAATCATTTTTGTTTTTAATTCCAGCCATGAAAATTTATCCTTGTGTTTTACGTGTAGTGAACATTCCAAAGAGGCTTCCTGTAATAATTGTAAAGAACCAAGAATTGCAGATAAAGGCACATTTCACCACATGCTTTGTGATACAAGCAGTAGCAAAGGTAGGACTATGTTTATTTGATGGCTTTAAGGAGAAATTTCAGATCTCAGAATAATTTACTCTGCTTTTTTATTCAAATAAAAAAAAAAAAAGGTTCCCGCCAAAAATTGAGGTTACTATTGAGGTGTCCACCTAATCTAAAAATAACTGTTAATTCATGAATATCGGCTAAAGTCTTTTGGTATTCATTAAACACATCATATAATTGCTAAGCTTCTCGCCATATATTAAGTAAGACTAATATGGTGGAAGATGCTGAAAATTAAGTAAGATAACTAAAGGGTTACCACAAAGGACAATATCTAATTTTCTCTTTCTCTGTTTACCCTAGAGAACCAATACAAAGATAAATTATTTGATATAACATTTTGTGAATGAGAATTATTATGATCTGACAATTACAACTTTATTTCTTTTAAGTATTTAAAGAAAATAATATGAGAAAAGAATGAATGATAACATTTAAATTTAATGGCTGTATTATTTACATCCAAGCAAGAATATAGTACAAAAGAAAATATCAAATATACAATTTAGTAAAATTCTTGTTGACAATAATATACAGACTATTACAAATGCAAATATTTGAATGCATTTTAATAAAGTTCCTTTGATAAAAATGTTGCTTGTAGCAGAGTTAATTATGACAAAATTCAAATCTGACTGATACAAATATTTGGTTGTTATTTGATTAAAATTTCTTTTATGAAATGTAGAGCCAGAATGTGTTTAGTGAATGTTTAAGTTGTTACAGAGTCAAGGAAAAATTTTTTTTTTTTTTTCCTCAAAACAATTTAAAATGTAAGGCAGTTTTCATTCTTTTTTTCTAATGAAGCCAGTCTCTTTTTATAGGGTCATACATAGTATCTATCTGAATTTCTGGTACAAGGACAATTATTTACATCACAATAGGCCACATATAAGTAATGTAATAAATAAGAATGCCACAAGCTTTTAACAGCAAAATAAAACACATAAAAAAATGCTACTTTTTAAAATTAAATTTGTATTAATTACACAATCAGTATACTTGAACTTATTTTGATGCCAATTTATTGAAAATTCTTATAGAAATTTTAAAAATTATTTAGAAAAATGCATCAAAATATCGACAAGAAACCTGCTGGTCTCAATATTTTTCTATTGTTTATTTTTAGTCCCAACATAAATAATTTTATCATCATTACTTAATATGAAATATTGATTTCCATCTTCTTGATTGCTGTGGCTTGTATACTCATTCATCTATTTGTCTATGATATTTCTGCATATTCGTCTTTTTTATAATATTTAATTTGGATTGCTTCTTTTTCAAAAAAATAAAAACCTGCAATTTTGTGAACCATATATAAAACTTATATAAAAATATAAGTTTTAGGAAAATCAGTGAAATAAAAAATTTTGCATCTTTTTGCGACTTTTGATATCTGAGTGCTTTTGCCTAAGTACATGCAATGATGTTTCTAAGAAAAGTGATTATGAGCCTGCTGCATCGATCATGTTTTAACTTGCATTGCTGTGTTTAACTGGTTTGAAGAGTGCCGTATACAAAAAGGATTGACTTCAGCAAATTGTCATATTTTGCCTGAACTTATAAAATCTAAATAGATAACAAATAAACACATAAATTAATAATGATTAATTAAAAACAAAAAAGCCGTTTCTGTGCTTGAGCCCACACATTCACACACAAAATCAGCAAAACCATACATTAGATGATTCTAAACTCTTACTCAAATACATAATAAAAGATAAAATTGCTAAAAACAAACGTTTTAAAAACATAAAACATTGACAAATTCAAAATTGTCTTTACAAAAATAAACTGAATTAGTGAATTATTATTGACACGTAAGATTCTCTAAGAAAAAAGAATTAAAAACTTTCCTATTTGACTTAAAGAAGATAAATGAAACTTAAAGACAATACCTAACTATGAAATTCTATGAAACTCTGGAAAAAAAGAATAGCAGTCAGCATTTCTGAACACTGATAACAATTTTATTTCTACTTACTACTCAACTGACAAGGGAAAAATCCCTACTATCAAAAAGAAAGTCCTCTAAACAAAAGGACTGCTACCACATTAAAGATATAATCCTGTTCTCTTTGACCAAGCTCCTTGGTAAAATTATATGCTATCTTGCTACCATCCTATAATAAATACTTAGAGCATACTTTTTCTCAAGCTGAGTTAGTAATAATTAACCAACATTGACTTTTTCCATCCATTACCTTTCAAACACAAATCACACACCACTTCAAGTAAAAACTAACTTTGTTTTGAACATTATTTTGTGTCAACCATTGAACTTTATTTCTATATATGACAATACTCTAACTCTAAAGAATATTGAACAATTTTCCTGAACAAAACTCAACCTGTAAAATATTGAAGAAAAAATTGTTTCTTCTTCATTAGCATGTCATTCCCTTATTAATACCCTAAAACCCATAAGGCCATACCTACAAATAAAATAAAAAATGGCAACTGAGAAAAGAAAAGTAGATGCTGAGTGTCACCTTTTCAATGAAGAATGGGGAGGAAATTACTTCTCTGTGGAAACAACCAGCCAGAAAGCTAGTTGCTTCATATGTAATAAAAGTGTTGCCATTTTGAAAGAGTACAATCTTCATTGTCACTATGAAAAGAAACATCTGTCAACATATTCAAAGTTTTCTGGAAAATTGCATTCTGAGAAATTTGAGTTCATTAAACGTAGGTTGGAATCTCAAAGTTATCTCTTCACAAGAATATTTGCTGAAAATGAATATGTCACTCATACAAGTTACAAAAAGGGCAGAAGATGGCAGAGTGAGGAAAACAGTTTACTGATGGCAACTTCATCAACAAATGTATGATGGAACAGCAAATGACTTGTCCTGAGAAAGCCAATTTGTTTGGAAGTATCAGCCTTTAATCAAGTTCAGTTGTGCAGAGAACAGAAGAACTTGGAAAGAAAATAATGCTACAGATTCATTGAAATTCTTGTGTTCATTTGTGAAATTAATTTGGACTTTCACATCACAGAAGAGTTGACATCTGTTTTTAGCATGCACAGTACAACTGGAGAAGACATTTTCATGGAAGTGCAGAAAACTATCCTTTGGTGGAATCAGCTTTGATGTGTCACTCTGTTTATACACTGCATTATACATCAGCAAGCATTCTGTGGGGAAAGTTTTAGATATTTCCTGCATACTAAAACCAGTTGTTTTTGTGGTGAACTTCATTCAGAGTCATGAACTGAATCACTGCCAGTTCCAGGCTTTTCTTGAAGAAATTGATTCTGAATTCTATGACTTGGCTTATCACACAGCAGTGAGGTGCCTCATTTTTATAATTTTTCATTTTTATAAGCTTCGAAGAGAAATAGATATTTTTCTTACCAGAAAAGATAGAGCTGATCCACTTCTGTCAGATCCTATCTGGCTGTCAAAGTTGTCATTTTTGCTGATGTCACATCCTATATAAATGAACTTGAACCTTCAGGGAAAGAATAACCTTATCTGTGATCTCTACAGAATTATGAAGGGATTTTGGAGAAAACTATTGTTGTGTCAAGCACAACTGGAAGAAAGAAATTTCTCATATTTTCAGTGTTTCAAAGAGTTTTGCACTGGAATCACAGATGTCAAACTTGAGTTTTTAAAGAAAATTATTCATGACTTAAATAAGTATTTTTTGAGAGAGATTTTCAGATCTCAAGAGAATTGAGTGACGTTCTTCCATTCCAGAATCCATTTGATTGTAACCTTGATGACATGCCAGTTGCACTACAGGTGGAACTTGGTGATTTTCAAGCAAATGACTTGTTGAAAGAGAAGCATAGAAAAGGAAAACTTCTTGAATTTTATTGCTTTGATAACTTTTTGGTATATAAATGTTTGTCTTTATTTTTTGTGTGTTCAGTGTAGAAAAATGGTTCACAAACATCATTCTTTCAGTTATCTGGCCCTCTGTGAAAAAAGTTTGGTGACCTCTATTCTTAATGAATGGACGAACATCTGAATACTTTGAAGTCTCTATATAAATTTTATAATTTAAGTAGCTAAAATCTAAAGTTAAGAAAATGTTGAATTTTTCTTTTTGTTGTCTTCAGGTTCGACATTGTCCTTTGATGAAGGCAGTGATGATAGTTTTCATTCAGTCTCCAGTATTCAGTCATTGATTTGGTAAGAATATTTTATGCCTACTTGGCTATTTCTACATTTGTAAGCATTTGTCAAAATTAGGAAAGTGTTGTGGTAAGCCCTCCTACATTATAATGAACTCTTCCTCCTCTCATAAATACAAACTGCGAGAGTCGGATAAGAGAGTGTGAAGTAAAATGGAGTAGTAGACGCAGTGCTAATCTATTTATTACTAACACTATTGTTTGTATATATCTTCAAGATACTTTTTCAACCTACCTTCATCTTCTGTGTCTTTCTTTCTGGCCCCTAAACAGGCCACAACAACTTGGCGACAAGGATTTGCACTTCATGGGAACTCAAAAATTGCCGTTACCAGTGTCCACAACAACTTGGCGACGAGGATTTGCACTTCACAGGGACTCAAACAAAAAAAAATTTGCCATTGCCAGTGATGAAGATTTACAAGGATTTTGCATGGACCACTGGGATTAAAAGGAACTCTCTCAAAATACGGAAAATCGAGTTTTTTCGTAAAAAAAACACTTATGATGGAGGATTTCAAAAGTATTTTATTAGAACTTGTAAAATACCGGAATGCAGAGCAATTACAACTCCAAGAAAGAATGGAAGAGAAGTGGCAAAAACAATTGCTCTCTCAACAGGAAAAAATGGAAAATGTATTACTGCAAACCCAGAAGGAAACTCGAGAGGGGCGGCTCGAACTTCAAGAGGAAACTCGAGAGGGGCGGCTCGAACTTCAAGAGGAAACTCGAGAGGGGCGGCTCGAACTTCAAGAGGAAACTGAGAGGGCGGCTTTTCTTCAAGAGGAAACTCGAGAGGGCATGTGAACTCAAAGAGGAAACTTCAGAGGGCGGCTCGAACTTCAAGAGGAAACTCGAGAGGGGCGGCCAAACTTCAAGAGGAAACTCTGAGAGGGGGGCGGCTCGAACTCAAGAGGAAACTCGAGAGGGGCGGCTCAACTTCAAGAGGAAACTTAGAGAGGGGCGGTCGAACTTCAAGAGGAAACTCGAGAGGGGCGGCTCGAACTTCAAGAGGAAGTGTTAGAATTGACAAACTGTAGTAATCCCATTTAAAACGAACTTTCTTTTTCGCAAAACACCATTTGGAGTGCGATAGAGAATTTTTCATACAATCCTGAGGAAGACATAACCTTTGCATCATACTTTAGGAGGTATGAGAAAATGTATACATTAGATTGTGCAAATTGGAGTGACTCGAAAAGAATATGTTTTCTTCTGAGGAAACTTGGCACATCTGAGCACACAAAATTCGTTAACTACATTCTGCCTCGTAAGACTAGCAAATTGACATGCACCGAAGCAGTGAAATTAATAACGGAGCTCTTCAGCCCAAAGACATCTCTTTTCCATAAGAGATGGAAATGTCTTTAAAGCAGGATTCTAAAAATATTGAATCTGGTATTGCTCACGTCAAAAAAAGTATGCTACAAACAGAAACAGTCTCCTAAAACTGAAACAAAGAAAAAAACAAGTTACCCCTCTAACCCATGCTACGGATGTGGGGTCCTACATTGGTACAAAGATTGTATGTTCCAGAATAAAAAATGTTACATTTGTAACGGTCGGACACAAAAGTTCACATTACCGATCAAAATATAAAACCAATAGCTGCATAAAAATACAGGGTCGGGTGAACGAGACGGTGCTAATATCAGGAAATTCGTGCACATATAAATGTTAAACAAAAGTGTAGAATTTCAACTAGATTTGGGTTCTGATTTAACTATGATAAACTTGCAAACATGGAAAAGATTGGGTAAGCCAAACATGATAAAATCTAGAAAGATTGCCAGATCAGTAACAGGAGAAAAAATTAAATTCGAGGGAGAATTGATTACAAATATAACGTTCAGCGTGAAGACTCTTAAATTAGTATTTTTCAGTACGAACAATTTTAACAACCTATTTGGCACTGACTGATTGGATGACACAATTCCAGCTGTGGGACTTGCCTATAAATTCTTACTGCCAAAAAATTAAACTACAAGATGACATCCAGCCAGTGTTCAAAAAGAAGCAAAATGTGTCTTTTGCCTCATTGGAACAAAGTAACGAGGAACTTGCAACAGTAGTAAGAACGGGATATCTATCAAAGGTAGAAACAAAGAACAGTTCATCTAAAAAGGCTAAAAAATTAGCTGCTAAGAAAGTGAAACTGAAGAAATTAGCAAAGGTAAAGACAAAAGTGCTTCATGTTGACAAGACAAAAAAGAGGAAAGTTTTTGTTAAAGGCAAAGTAGCCAAAGCAAAGAAAGTGGCTCAAGGATCACAGGCCTCGATCACTAAACAGAGCAAGAAAATTGCATCAGTTTCAGCAGACTTTGAACAGAAAAACATTGTGTTGGACTTTAAAAAAAAAAAAAAAACCTGGACCAGTGAAAGGGAGTAAGTGTTTTGTGAAAAAGGTTTCAGTTTCTGGAGAAACAGCAGCAAAAAACTGTACCAAAAATAAAAAGACACCACAAAAAGATGTTTGCAAGCTTGTTCTACTTTGAACTTGGTAAAACAAGTCAGCCAAGTTTTAAATTCCTAGCCAAATGTAAAAAGTAAACGCTTGTCTTTTTTTTTTTTTTTTTTTTTTTTTTTCAATAATGTAAAACAAGTCAGGTACATGTGAAAAAAAAAAAAAATTATTTCTTCAGACTCCTGTGGAGTTAAGATTTTAAGAGCTGGGTGTTGTGGTAAACCCTCCTATAGTAGAATGAACTCTTCCGCCTCTCATAAATACAAACTGTGAGAGTCTGATGAGAAAGTGTGAAGTGTAGTAGACACAGTGCTAATCTACTTATTACTAACACTATTGTTTTGTATATATCTTCAATATATTTTTTCAACCAACCTTCGTCTTCTGTGTTTTTCTTTCTGGTCCCTAAACAGGCCACAACAGAAAGAGGACGAAGAAGATACAAATAACATCCATTTATATGTTCAGTTTGATTTTATGGTGCCTGCTCATCTTCATATTTTCTTTTTATTGATGTTGCTAAACAGTTCAGAACAAATTTTTTAAAAAAATAGTTTGGAAGAAAATGAATAGATTATCTTTCATTACGGATAGAATGGATTTGCAATAAGTTGGTTATAATTGCAGTGACACCTGAAGATGGTTGGAAAGTTTCTTAATGAAAAACCATTAAACCATCAACAGAAACTTTTTAATAGATTTGAAATTTACAACAGATAACACAATAAAAAAATATTTTATAAATGTTATAAGCTGATGTTCAAATTCATGCTTTTACACACACGCATGCATAAATACATAGAGTACATTTTTCACAATAAATATTTTTCAACATAATCTCCTCCCTTGTTAATGCACTTAATTCAGTGATGAATATTAATCTCATAAATTAATCATTATACAGTGAAAATTTCAAATCAGTATTCAACTAATAACTGTGTCAGGTTTCTTTGTTCATACACAGTGGATGAATACATGTACTCACATTATTTTTAATGTTAACTGGAGGTTTTATTAAATGTCTGCTGCCAAATCATCATCATCATCATCCTTCGACCTCTCTATGGTTGGTCGGAACTCCATTGACAATCCTTTTCCACACTGTTTGGCCCTGTATTGCTATCCTCAATGTCCAACCCTAAGCCCCAAGCTATGGTGTCTGGGAAAGTCAATTTTCATGAGAAGACACTTCCAGAAAGATGCCATAGAAGTAAGGATGAGATGATTTCTCTGTCCGCTCGGTGACAGTGGCCTGCAAACTAATCATTTTTGTTTAAGCTTAAGAGAGATTGGTCCCATTTCTCCATATATTGTGTTAAGCATTACATGGGATCTCCAACTGATGTTCTGGGTTTTTCTAAGTAGATTTGTATATGTTCTATCCTGTTATCTTTCAAGACAAGCAGATAATGTCCAAGTTTCTTATCCGTGCAGTAGGACTGGTTCAATCAATGTTCGGAAAGTTTGAACTTTTAAGGAAGATGAAAGATTGAAGTGCCAAATCTTGTCAAGTTTGTTACACGCATCCCATGCAAGAGCTTTACAGATGTTGAAGTCTTTTTGGGAATCTATTATGTGAGATCCAAGATATTTGAAGACCAACTCTTTTGATGGATGTATTATCGAGTGACTTAAACTCGGATGGTTCAGGGGAGGTCGTGATATATTTTGTCTTAATCACATTGCTGCTAAATAGGAGTTTGGGTATCTTAAGGTTTAAAGAATGGAATTGACAAATTGAATTCAAGCCCTAGATTGAACAATTTGCATCCAGACACTAATGTTCTTCAAAAAGATATGAAGCCATTTCTCTCCTCCTGCTATGAGGTAAATAGAAGATAGTTGGAGCCTTTTATCATTGTAAAGCAATGAATCTTAGGTGTTGGATAATAGGTTAGGTCAGAGTTCATTCCTTGTTGTCAGTAGCATGGAGAGGAGATGACCACTGCCAATTTAATCTCTCTTACCTTCAAAGATTATATGGAAGAAAATTGTTTGGCATGACAAAAAACCACCCCAACAATTTAATGTGTCATGGGATATGTCCACTGTTGAATAAGTCTCAAGAGAGGAAAAAAAATGAATGATGAGACAAATGAAATACAAAGGCAAACAAATCCATTGCTAATGGGAACAAATCTTCAATATCTTAACTTTTCTAATTACTTGTAAAAAAAAAAAAAAATGCAGTATCAAAATTAAATAGAAAAATAAAATCAAAATATATTTTAATTTATTCTTTTGATTCCCATGCATTCTTCTTCTATCTACTCTTTATTTGAAACTATGGCCACACTCTTGATTCTGGTTTGCCCTAACTTGTTGAACCCACAGTACCAGTTTATTGGTACAACACTCCAAATTCTAATTACTATAGTACCAGCAAACCACTAAGGACAGGTACTATGAAATGACTTTAAATATTGTATCCATTGTCATAATGTTATGTATCCTAAGGAATGAGCTAAATCTAATGACTGCACCACTTGTTTAATTATTTCTGCAAACAATTAAAAATATACTGTGTCTATACAAATATGGATCAAGTTCTGTCAGATGTGGACACTGGCACCATTATCTTTGTGTAAAATGATTATCTAACTCCCAAAAGAATTACAGTCTAACATGGAAGTAGAATAAGGTTGTTCATACGAGCAATTTTGTACTGGCCATTTGTTGCTCTTCACTCCTGATTTGTTCTCATACAGACAGTTCTGGAATCATGAACATTTAACAAAAATTTTCAGAGTATTGGTAAGTGATTAAGTCTCAGGATTCAACTGGTTAAAGGTTAACTGATAAGAACAAATGAACCAAAACTCTTCCTTCACTCTCAAGCTGTACATTTTAAAGCTTCAAGGCCACTCTCATTTTCCCATTCATTATATCAGTGCAGTGGACGTTGTCGTAATATCAGTGCAGTGGATGTTCTCTAGTGTTTAAATACTTTGATTTATTAACAAATGTCTTGTACATTTTAGGAAATTATTTGCAAGTTTATTTTTTCCTTTTATCAATATTGAATTTTGTGCTCTTTACTTTCTAGTTAATCCCATATTGATGGCATTGAACAACAATTTTCATTTCTAAACCAACTTTTGCCCATCATATGGTTATAAATAGTCCTTTTTTTTTTTTTTTTTTCTCCAGGCCAAAGTCATATTTATGGAAGAAACCATGTAGAATTTTAGCCGATCTTCTTCACAGTAAAGAACATGAACAACAGGGTAAATAAACGTCAAGCATGACATTTTCTCTTTTTACAAAAAGAATTGCAATATTTTACAAAAGAAAAACTTCTTTTCTCACCAAATGATTAATATTTGTCATGAATTAAGTAATTTATTATCATTTCCAACATTATAATTACTATGTCTTTCAACAAAAATAATGCAAAAAAATATACGAGCCAACAATTTTGTAAAATGTTTTATGTGCAACATCAAAAATATATTATTTTTGACATTTTTATTTGATCATGTTCAAAAATCTTTTCTACTACTGAATTTATCATCTCATTTAGTGCAATATTAGTGAATATAAAAACTATTTTGAAGAAAATTAAATGCCCCATCTTATTAAGTCCATTTAGTTCTTTTACTATCATAAAAGAATCTAGCACCCTATGTTTAATAAATGGTTCTAATAAATCAGATATTTAGCAAGACGATAATGGAATGAATTGTTCAAGTCCCCACTAGGGACATAACTCAATTGTATTTTGAGTTATTATTCTTTATAGGGGTGGGGGAGTAAGTTTGTACCCCTTAACAAAAGGGTTATGTCCTTAAGAGTAATTCTGATGATTTATATGAAGAAATATAAAGTCAGGTATGAAAGATTGATAATGTTCCACAAGATGAGACAATAGCTTTAACTACATAAAAGATTTTTTTGAACATCGTCAAATGAAAAAATGTCAAAAACACAATTAAAAAAAAAGTTTGCCACATTTTTAACTCCTAAAATATCAGTCCTTCTGTCAATGATCAGTGTAGTATCTGTATTCTATGAAATACACTTTGCATCTTATGGTTCTAGGAAAATTCCCAGTGTGGAATATTGTCATTGATAATTTGAAGGATTGAGTTCAGAGAATCTAATCCAAATGAAGAGATTTTAAGTAAAAAAAAAAAAAAACATTCATTTCTCTTTTTATAACTACTAATTTTAACCCAAATTAACATTTCTCTAAAAATCCTAAAAATAATAACCCCTTCAAATAAACTAAAATTTGCATTTAGCATCTTTCCTTAGCAATCACATTCTTTTTAACACTTAACCTTTATTTTTTCCAAATTCCTCTTATTATTCGTTTTTTATTTAGCAAACGATAAAAAATTTAGAAGGAATTTAAAAAATAAAAAAAAATAATTTTCTTAATTTCTTTATTTTCTAAAGGTGCTAAAATGCAAATTTTAGTTTATTTGAAGGGGGTTATTAATTTTAGGATTAAAAGCAACAAAACAAAGCAGCTGATGCTTTTTTTATGTTCTTTTGTACCAATTTGAAGTAAGAAAATATAAATGGAGAAATTGTAGTTTTGGTTCAAAAGAGAAATGGTTAGTCTTATCTTTCCAATATTCTTGTCATTTAGGTTTGACTTCAAATAATAAGGACTTATAAAAAGAAAAATGATAGTTTCAGTCAAAATTAGTATTTATAAAAAGAGAAATGTTTTTTGGGTGTTTTTTTATTTAAATCCTCTTCATTGAGGTTAAATTCTCTGGGCTCATTCTTTTAATTTGTCAATGGCAATTTTCCACACTGGCAATTTTTTCAATGGGAACTTTTCACACTAGCAATTTTCTGTGTACACATCTTGCTAAATATAATAAAATTATTCATTAAATCCCTTATCTAATTTTATATTTATTTTTGCTTTTCTTTTTAGCTCAGAGTTTAATGCACATCTTGCAGCAATACCAAAATCTAAACCAATTAGTGGCCAGTATTTTGTCTGGCCGTCCTGTTGTAGTGATTGGTAAAAGTCAGTCTGAAGAGGAAGTGAAGACTATTATTGATGCCTTTTCTCTGTTTCTTCCTGGAAATCTCAGGTAAAACATAACTAAAGAGGATATTGCTTATTTTATTTCACTTTAAAACATATTTTCACCTATATTCAGTAAACTGAAGTGAACCCTACCACTTAACCAATTGGGTCATTGGAGACTCATAATAAGGCAAGGCTCAGTTACCTACTTAATGAATATACATTTCTTGCTTGGGACCCTTTCAGGCTCTATATCTTTCAGCTTTATTTTTGTACCCAAAATATAAGTAATTTTGTTTTTGATGTATTGTAACAGTCCAACAAGCAAAGTAGAAACAACAAAATGGGGTCACACGTCCAACCTTCACTTCTCACAAGCAAAAATGCGTTTTCAGTCCCCAGCTCAGAAAATCTGCCTTTATAAGCAAAAAACAACGGCTTTGGTTCATCAAGAGATTTTTCTGATTGGTCACGCCATTCAGGGGAGGGGAGAACATTAGCATAGATTCTAGCCATTGAAGTAGATTTTTGCTAACTACTTTTTGTAATTTTTCTTCGGGAGTTCACACACAGAACACAAACTTTTTCCAGGGTAAATGATTATCTCTTTCACTACGGAATATAACAGTTTTAATCTGATATTATTTTTTATTGTTAATAAATCAGTATAAATTCATTTAAAAATTCAGTGTTTACTTTGTTTGTTATAAATAAATAAATATAACAAGCAAAGTAAACACTGCTCCAAAGTGAGAAATAAAAAATAATTTTTGGTAACATTTTTCAACTTTATGAAAAGTGTGTATATGTATTGGTTTCATTAAAGGTCATTTTTTGTGTTGAATGATTTGTTTTATCACTCAGTACTTAAATGAATAAATTTTATTTGTCGTCATGGCTGTGGCAGATTGTGTATGAATTGATGTTTTCTGAGGCTTGGCACTTTTTTACTTTTTAACATTTCCCTTTTTTTCTTTCTGTTAATATTTTCACAAATTTGACCAACTTTTAGATTAAAACTTATTTGCCATCAATAATTTTGCCTAGTAATTTTCTTACATCATTATTTTTTGAGTTAGTCTTTATTGCAAATTTACTGATGCATCAAGCAAACTGTACAAATTGGAAATAAGTTCCTGATGTCCTGTTTGTTCACATTGGTAGAGTAACAGGTTCATTAAGGTTACAATGAGTCAAAAAAGAAATTAAAATGAAACAAAACTATAAGGCAAAATTAAATGGTTCATTTAAAAAATAAAACTTTTGTTCAAACTTATCTGTCTAATATTATTCCCAGGGAGCTGAGTCATTTCTTTGTATAATTGCTGTTGTTAAAAACAATTGTAGTATTGTATGCAAATTAGATAGACAAGTATAAATAGAGAGTAACTGGTGAACATAGGGTGGCTATGCCTAGCAAACCCAGTTGCTATTCAGGACACATAGGACTGTACTACGATTACTACTATGCAGAGAGATATGCAAAACATAATGTTTCAACTGATTCCTTCTTCAGTCCTCATCAGGTGTTATTCTGTAAGGAAATTAAATTTTCTTTCTTCAATGAAATGCTTTGATAATTTGATTCTTATTTTGTTCTCATCAACTGTAATCTTTTTAAAGTGTTCTTCATAGGATTTTTTGAGATGATGTTTTAACTCTGGAATATATATTCTCCCTCTTCACCAGAATGTAATTAGCTTGCTTGGACTGGATTTTACTTTTAAACTTTGTGCTTAGTGGTATAAAAGCTTCCTCTCAGTACCTATACAAGAATAGTAAATAGTTGAAAAACTGAGTGAGTCTAGGTGATGTAACTTCTCTATTTATCTCTTTTTTTTTTTTTTTTTTTTTTTTTGAGAAAGAAACTTCACAAGGGCTGAAGAGTGGTTCAGCCAAGATATTGAGTATATGAAGAAATGGGTTCAATTGTCCAAATGAAATGGAGTATGTTGACCCTTTTCCAACTTAAAAAAAAATGGTTTACTTAAACGATTTCACTCATCAAAACAATTTTTTTATTTTGTTATTACAGCTATATACTGTCTAGCCTTCTTCAGGCATCTGTTTCATTCAAGAATGTCGACTGGCTTGTGGAGTAGAGGAAGTGCATGTACTTTTTCTTTCATACATGTTATCCTGTATCCATGTTTTTGAGATTATCTTCTGACTTTTGCACTGAACCCCTGGCCATATAAAACATTTTAACATTTGTTGTTTGTAGATGCCATTCATAATATCTGTGTTTTAAATACACTCTAATATGAAAGAATAATTAAATTGTAATTCTTTACTGTCATCAGATTAATTTTGATCTGTTTTTAGGGACCACAAAAAGAGAACTGTTCCCTGGTTAAAACGTCCATTACATTTAAAGGACCTATCAAAAATGCAATTGGTGGGTTTGTGTAGGCCATCTAAACGAAGATATTGTGTAATACCATTGTCACTAATGGTAAGTTTCTTGTATTGGTTTCTATTTCAATGTGTGTAGCTGTATTCTATATGTACTGCATATAAATACTAGTTGAAAAATAAAATCCTTACTTTTGCCTTAAAGCCCATCAGAACACGAAGCATGTCATCTGACTTTTCCTTTTGTCTTTATTTACACACACACACAAATTTGTGTGTGCAATATATATATATATATATATATATATATATATATATATATATATATATTAGTGAACTCTGAGACCTACACTTTGTTTCATGCTTAAAATGCTTTTCAGACCATGAAGATTGTGTTTAAGCATGAAACAGACCGTCGCCACTCGGTGTTGACCTTGGTGTCCATCTTTATATTTACATATGCTCTATCCATGATATTGAGCACTTTTACCCATAATTATAGCATACATTAAAATTTATATATATGAAGAGTTCCCAGCCACTCAAATAAGAAGTCTTTCCCTCAAAAAAAATGTTTGATCAAATTTTGGGAAGTGAGTCAGATACTTTTCCTCACCCCCTTATATATTTTTTTATTATAATGTTTAGGGTTATTAACATTCTCCTGACAACACATGGAAGTTGATATGCTGCTAAACAAAAACTAGCAACCAATTCAGTGTATTTTTTTTTAAAGATGCTAAAAAAAAAAAATTGAAAATTTCGAAAAATATTTAAAAAATTGAAAGTTAACTGCTGTTGAGATAAACCAAAACCTTATGTCTTCAGATGTCTATGAAGTTCTTTTAATAAACATTACAATATCAAATATTTAGTTTGTGTTATAATGAAATGTGAGAGATCATTCTTAATTTTCTTTTTCTAATTCTACCTTCAGAGCTATGTCAGTATTTTGGATATTGAGCAAAGGTTGGTGGTGGCCCCACATTATCAGGTAAATTTGCTTTCCAATTTACTTTTCACCCCACCCTACACACAAACATGCCTGCAAGGAAAATGTGATTAAGTTTTGACAAGGATGTGTAGTTCACTGCACCTTAAATCTGACTGTTTACTGATAACCATACCTGGATATTTTGGTTAAATTTCAGAAGTGCCTTTGTCACAGAACAAATCAGCAGTGAAAAGCAACAAATGGCCAGTACAAAGTTGCTCATATGAACAACCTTATTCTGCTTACATGTTAAACTGTGTAATTCTTTTTGGCATGCCAATCCTATCGGCAGATAGATTCTCATTTTATATAACGTTAACAATGTCCACACCTGACAGAATTAGGTTTATTGTTGCTACTAAGTTACAAATGGAATAAACATCTGTTTTTAATTAGGTTGTGATGGCAACAACAGAACCAGGGTTTATAATAAAGTTTTGTGTAGGTTGCAATGACATGTACAGGAGGGTTGATGAAATCTATGATTGCTTGGAAGGTGAAATTTGAATTGAGAAAGTGCTTGTGGAAGATGACTGGCAGAGATAAAATGCCTGTTTGGACAGTGTCTACAGAAACTTGACACTAGCATAGTAAAACTGTATTGCTTGATAAATAACAATACACTTTTTTAATGGAAAGTAATAAATAACTAAGCAATTTTATCATGAAAAAGATAGGGGAAAGAGGTTGTAATCGTGCATTTTGAATCCTGTGATATTGTCATTTTTTCACTTTTTTTAGAAATTCTTCCAATGAAATTTTATAAATTCTGATGGCAAATCTAATTGAAATAGTTGCCTATTAAGCAGGCCCCCACCCAAATGAATACAGACAATGAAAAGAGTCTTTATCTGGTAGCTACAATTTTTAAATTGGTTGTAATATTTCTTGTACATATTCCTTCAAGTATTCATCATTATCTAATTCAAGTAGCAATTTCTTTATGCTTCTATAATTATAATTCAATTGTTTTTCACTTATTTACATTGGTAATTCTTTAAAAATAAAACATATTTTAAACCCAAAGAATGGCCTATCATTGTTGGATTTATAAACACACACATTTCCTTTCCATATAAAAATAGTGTGTATTTTTATTTGATCCTGGTAAAAGTATATGCCACCTCAACTGCTAAAAATTTGGGATTGGCAAAAGAAATAATTTATAAATGCTACAAAAATGGATTTCCTTGTGTTGAAACATTTTTGGATTTGTCCTCAAGATCAGTTTTCATTTTTCAAGAATGTAACCAATAATTTAAAGAAAAATTTTCTGGGAAGAATATTTATAAAAGACATTTCTCTGCCATGTGTCCAGAATTTTGCTTGCTTTTCTATTCCAATGTCCAGCTATAATCAAAATTAGAAAAAAAAATTTTTAAATGTCCTGCAGTATACATTGATGTGCTAAAAGTCATGGAATAGGAGCTGGATATTATGTAGGATCATCTCTAACCCAGAGAAACAACTCAATATGGCCTTGATTCCAAAAGTAGTCAGATCTCTAGAGAGATATTGAAATATATCATCTGGTTAACGGTTTATATCTTCTTAATATGTGTAGATGAAAATCTATCCATCATGTCCCATAAATGCTCAACTGGGCTCAGGTTGAGCAAATGTCTTGGGCCCACCATTTCTTGAACATCTCTAGATTGTTCCTCAAACCAATTCTGGTTGACTTTAATTCAATGACACAGTGTATTATCCTGCTAGAATAACCCATTATTGTCAGGATACATGGAATCTATAAAACAGTGCATTCTAGCAGACATTTTTCACATGAATACACCCCACATTATTATAGAACCACCACCAGGCTGAATGGTGCCTATGGGGTTTGTGACTTATTAGACTGCACTACACATTGCTAGTCTTCCAGGATTTCAATTACTGATGTCATGAACTCAGGTGAAATGCTGTATTTGGTGTCAACAGGAGCAACCTGGTGGGTCTCCTGCTCCCATACCCCATGGAAGCTAAAGAGTGTTAAACTAATCTGCTGAATATGCATCTGGTACCTCCTGCATTGAAAGTGGTTATTTGAGGCAGTGTTGCTTGTCTGTTACTGAAGATATTTCTAGCCAAACACGTCTGTTCAGGATCATTATGGGATCTCAGATCAGTCATTGCTCTGTCCATGATTAGTGGCAATGACTCCCAATAGGTATTCTCAGTACACACCGTAGATTGAGGAATGTCTCCACAATTTCAGAATTTTCTATTTGTCTGATACCCACTATCATGCTTCGTCTGAACTCTGATAATTCATGTCATCTAGCCACAATTGATGTGAGTTTGGGCATTTTCATGATGTCAACATACAGTGGCACCACCTACCATTATTTTTATGTCTTGTGAATTCTTGCCCATCAGCATAAAAACACAATTGCTTAAGGAAAATTACAATGTATTCAGAATTATCAACATATTTGAAGATGTTAAAAATTAAATTGTTTTTAAATGCCAAACCTTGGTTATTCTCTAAGATGTTTTTGATTTTTTTTTTTGTCTGACATTACCATGCTTTAAAAATAGATATAAATAAAATACTTTTGTTATTTAGAGAATTTCTCATTGAACTTTTATGCAGCTTAATCTACTTCCTTGTCAATGCACTTTATTAAGTAGATCAAAATTCAGCTAATAGGTACATATCTGATTAGGCTATGGACTTATTGATCTGCCCATGTATAAAGAAAAAAACAAAAATCTGAAAATTCCTTTCATTTTGTTTTTTATTAATTTTGATTTTGTTTTTCTTTTAGGGAAAAATTGTGAATTCAATGCTCAGACAGCTTCAACAATTTCAAAACAGCCCAAATGTTTACCTGTCGTACATACACAGGTAAGATAGAACTTTGAATTGTCATTTCAGAAAGAGAAAAAAAAAAGTTCTTCATGAAATTCAAATGTTTATTATAAACTAGGAATGTCATCAGCATATAGATTCATAAAAATAGTTAAATCTCGGTTGGGGGAGTATTAGTAAAGTAAGTGGGTAGCAATAAGAATAATTGAAATCTTGACTTGATTTAAAATACAGTCGCTGTTATGATTCTCTTGTTTCCTCAAATATAGGAGCAAGATGAAATAAATTGGGTAGACAGACAAAGTTGCACTAGTCTTTAAAGTGGGGAGGGCCCATTTATCTAGGTTTGAATATCTACTATTGATGCCACTTATTAATATGTAGCTATTTCAGGCCATGTCGCTAATTATACAAAATATCTCCAGAAAGGATCTAGCCCGTCATTAATGAAATATAGTCAACTATAGCAATGTTGCCTTAGTCACCTTCAAACTGATATCCCCCCCACCATTGAGAGTTCATCCACTTATCCCAGCAACATCTCCCTCACACTTTTGGGAACACCACCATAAGCAGCTGCTTTGTTATACTCTCCTTTATTTTATCTATGGCATTTCAATGTCTATTTTCAATTTGGTGGGGGAAGGGAAAAAAAACTTGAAATTACAGAGGTCGATGTGTGGACTATAGAGGATGAGGGCCGGCAGACCAGGGTGAAGTGAAGTTTTGCCAAAAAAAACCCTGCATAGGCATAAAGAATTTGTATATTGTGATTGCAGTGTTCATAATGTGCACATGCTCACTTGGTAACATCTCACTACCAAATCAATCATTCTATAGGACAGTATCTGTACAGACATGCACAGCAAAGTCCCCTCTGATTGCTTACCAAGTTACAACTGGTTGTAAACATATTCAAAATGGTTGTTTTCTGGATGTATTTTATATTTATTTTTAAATTATCAAGGAAATATGGCTTGCCATTTTGCATTTTTTTCTTAATGACATCATCCACAAATGAAGCAAAGTTTGAAAAGGATTACTTCTTATCTAGCAGATTTGAGATTATATTGCTCATTGGAAAAAATTCCAGGCAAACACACACACACTTTTTTTTTTTTTTTTTTTTTTTTAAGAACTAGGGACTGAATACGCAAGTCCTTGTTTTCTAAACTTAATTAACAAAAGCAAAAATGCAAATTCAACAAAGGAGATTCTGTTTAACTCACTAAGTCACAAAATAAATGGCTAAGTTAGATGGAAATGTTGCAGATATTTTTTTCTCTCTAATATTTAAGAGACCAAATAATAATACTTAGTATGTAATGATAAATATAGCCATTTAATAATATCCAAGTTAATACTCTAATAATAATACTTAATAAATACTGAAATAATACTTAATTGAGCCATGATGATGATCATCATCATATATACCTTCAAAATTAAAGTACATCTGGGAAATATTGTGATTTTTTTTTTGTTTTCATTTTTCTTTCAGTTGTTTCCAGGAAATGTCATCCAAAGCATTTCTCTATTACCATTCCTTTTGCATGACATCTGTGAATCCAAGTTCCAATAATGGGTAAAGAATAAACTTTATTTATTCTGATAATATTAATGTAAATTATTTACACTTGTGTTGGACACTCTTTCAAAGCAATATCAAATCAAGATGTAACCGTTACCAATTTTACAAGCAACTGATAAAATTTCCGAGCTTGTAGTTTGCTTTGTTCAAAATATGATATTCATTTCTTTTGGAAATTATTCACTTTTTTGACAAAAATTGATTGCTGGTGTTCAATTTAACTAGGCCCTTGTTTTGCATCTCTTTGCACAAATATGGCAATGAAAATTAGTGATTTTGTGCCACTATAATTAAAAAAAAAAAAAAAAAAAAAAAAACTTTTATAAATTTGAAATAAATGTTGACTTAGTCCAATTTGATGTTTCGAATTTCTTTATTGTAAGTTTCTCCTGCCCTCATCTCTTGTCTTTATTGATATAGAACTTTGACTTTCTCTTAGGGTCATACTTATGTAAATAAGCAGAAAATTAAGGTCCAGTTTTACATTGAATTCACATGTTAATTTAAACATTTGCACTCATAAATCTGAGCACAAAATCAGGGTTCAGTTTTGAAATTTTAAATTGAACCCACTGGCTTTTTATTAAAACTTCTCTGAAGGATAAAAATTTTTTAAAAAAAGTCATTTTTTTAGATAAATGTCTTTTGCATTTTTAATTTGTTTTTTATACTACTTGCCAGGAAATTTATGCTTTCAGCCAGAAGCATGTCATCAGTGAGCGTGTTCAATTTGATTACTGCCTAAATAAGCCAACATTGTTAAATTTGAATCTGAAGTGAACAAGAGGCCAGTTATTCAGACATGCTTAATGCTGCAAAATCTGAATTTGAATAAAATGTAAAAAAAAAAAAAATTTTTTTGTTGCTGCAATATGCTTTAGCATTTCATTATAGTGACATAATGTCATCTTTAATGTGAGTGGATAATCACTTTGATATTACTGTTCTTCTTTTAATGTTTAAGCAGATAAAAGTGCATTATTATTAATTTTATTTGAAATTTTGGAAGATTGTGTAGTGACTCATTATCAATACATTCCATAAATATCATTATTAAATTTACATCTCTCTGTTGGCACTCCATTTTCATCAATGTTTGATTGCTTGAAAACTTTAAAAATTCTTAATTTCAGTTTGTTGAACACAAATTAAATCATAATCATTTTCAAGTGATATTTTAAATTCAAAACACAAATATCTCAATTTAATTTTTGTTTTACTTAGTTTTCTTTCTTAAATTTCTCAAAGCTATTTGCATTTCTATTGCAAATTCATTTACTCTTTCTCTCTCTCATTAAATGGTTCTTTGAATAAAACTCCTGATGATCTACACAATTCCATTGGTAACTCTTATTTTGCAGTTAGATTTTCTTCTTTAAAGATTCTTTGTTTGTTGTTCTTTCTATTATTGTTTAAAACTTTCAATAGAATGAAAGTTTAAAAAATAAGGTTTGGGCAGATATCAAAGAAAAAATAAAATATTTTTGTACTTTGCATTTTAAAGTATTTTTCCTGATCACTTGATAGAAAGAAATTTTGAAATGACAAGAAGAAACATCCTCATCATTACTTTTAGTTGCAATTTTTATTGAATGGGGAGATAAAAATAAAAAATTCACTTAACTATAAATTTTGAAAATAAATCTCTTAAATCTATTTAATATTTGATGAAGCAGATGCTCAGAAACCTCACCTACCCGGTCATTTAAAAGGTACTTTCATGCATCCTTTGAAGTGCACCAACCAAGAGAGCAGGTGCAATTCAGTTCAGGATTCTCGGCAATAGACCACATCCAGATAGTCAATTACAACTTCCATCTCTGCTTTTGTTGACTATCAAAAGGCATTTAACTCCATTCCACTATTCATGGCACTGGAGAATCAAGGAGTGATCCCTGCTTACATTACACTACTAAAGGATTTTTACAATTATACTACATGTTGCTTACAAGACAGCATCATCAACTGAGAGAACAAGAGTATCAATATAAATGGGGGAACCTAGACTTTGCAGATGACATCATCCTAATGACGAAAACATCACAAGAATTAAAGGAGATATTTAATGCTATCCACACTGTGAGCCAACAAGTAAGCCTTAACATTCATCTTGAGGAAAAACAAGGTCATGTTTAACAACCACACTAAGCCATCACCAGTTATTGTAGATGGAAAGACTGACTATAAAGGAAGTAGACAGATGTGTGTCTACCTTGGAAAGAAGATTGCAAGAGATAGTCCTCTACTTCCAGCTTTTGGAAAAGTTTATAGCATGTTGAGAAATCTTAAGTCAATAATTGAAACCAAGAGAAAATTGTTTAATGAATATGTTCTGCTGGTGATGACTTTATGGAAGGGAGACATGGCCGCTCAGCACCACCATTGCAGAGACTCTTGCAGTGACCCAATGTAAAATGTATCAAATCCTGCTCGGCATCACCTTATGTGACAAGAAGAGCAATACCCAGATTCTATAGCAGAATGGAGTGAAGGACATAATCATGACTATCAAGAAGGACAAATATAGATGGGCTGACCATGTCCCTCATCTCAAAGACAACCAGTGGACTATTAGAGTGACAGAGTGGACACCAAGGCAGTAGAAAAGAAGTAGATGTCAACCAGGAAGAGGTTCAACTTGAGAGAGAAGAGGCCCTGAATTTGGAAATCTGTTTTCTAATTTCTAATAAATGGGGGAAAAAATTATTTAATATGATACATTTTTAATTTAATTTTTATTGTTCAGGCTTTATAAAATAATGAATATAATATCTATCTCTCTCTACCCTATCTTTTCTGGATATGAGTAATCATGGCTTTCCACAACTTCCTTTGTTGCTCTTGCCTCTTTACTATCCTTTTGGTGAGACAGAAAAGTACTAGAAAGAGGAAAAAGTCAACTAGCTATGTCCTGAATCCAAAAAGAAGAGGTATTGAGCAAAATTTCATGGGAAAATTAGCTCGGGGGAGGTGTTGTAATGGAATGTTCCACTCTCCCTCTTGCCTATTGTGGACTGACTATATCAGTAGATATATATAGTGTGCACAGGATATACCTGGTGGACTTGCTTTGGCAATTAGTTGGAGGTTCATCTCCAGCTATGCTAGTCAAATTCTCTACTATACCGAAGGGCAGAGTATCGTCTTGGGTGATAGACAGCTACCTGACCTCGTTTTATACAGGGTCTACGGGGAATTTTTGCCTGAGCCTATGGGCTCAGTTTTGACCCAGCATTAAAAAAGGCCTTGTACCACATCCTGCCTTGCAGGGAGGTGAGGTAACTATCCTTGTTTCAGGAATAACTAGCCTGCTAACCGATTCCCTGTCTTTCAGTAGCATATTCTCTTTTACAATAAACCTCTCTTTATTTCATCTATGCCCGTGTTGCTGTTCCTCTCACTCGAGTACCACCTTTGTCTGTAACCTTCTTTAAGGATACAACACCTTTTTTACTGACTCATTTTATAGGTTACTTGCTATTTTCCTCTTCTCATGCATTCAGTGTGCCTTGTGAATGTCAAGTTCTCCGAACCTTCTTTCCTCATTGTGTGTCTCAAAAGTGTCTTTCTAAGAATTATTCAAATTATTGAACTTTACCTTTAAGTTGTTGGCACATTTTGATCAATGCATACTTTTAGCAAACGGTTCTGCGTATACAGCATCTAGAATCATCTTGGTGGCTCATATTACTGGAAATGAGCCAGTTTCATTTGTTTGATTTTTTTTTTTTCTATTTTCTGAATAAATTCTCTCATAGACTGTAGTGAAGAAGACAGCTGTAATGTTGTACTTCAATATTCTCAACAGTTCTTGGAATGATAGATTCATAATCGACTCAATGTTTCTCATTAGTCACATTAATAAAATGTCTTCATGATGTGAGGCATAATTACTTGTGATTGTTATTTTCTATTTCGACAGCTGTGTTAGTCTGGAGAAACTCAGCAAAGAATTTAAAGACACATCAGAACAATTTCTTAAAACCTGCAACATTCTTCATGGAGACCGCAAAATTATTGAGGTTTGTACTCTCCCCAATTTTTTTTTTTCTATCAAAATATCACAGGGAGGTGCCCAGTTATTAAAATCAGTATTCTGATGTTTGCTCATTAAAATACTGATAATTGAAAGTCTATCAGGTTGAGAATTTTTCATCACCTTGTGTGTGTGTTGTAGCCTAGCTACGAACAATAATGGGTATGCCCCCCTATTCCCATAAATACAATAGTAAATACTGTATGTTGGTCTGTAGTTGGAGATTCATTGTGGAATTCACTTGACTCACTTCTAGCAGTTGACTATTACTTCTACGTGCCACTAGTGAAACTTACATGTGTTGTTTGTGTCCTAAGTATTATTGTTCATTACCAACCTTCATGTGATTATTCTTTTAAGTAACCTTCCCTAGGTTACAACAATATATTATTATTATTATTATCATGTACCACTCAAGTACATTTTCATGACCCCCTAGGTAATATTTATACTCAAATAGACAGTATTGTGGTGGGATCTCCTTTAGGCCCCTTTTTCTCTAATTATTATATGGCACATTAAGAAAATAAAATACTTAATAACACTACTAAACCCCTTATATATGTAAGATACATAAATGACATTTTCATTTTATCTAAAAAATATTGATCAAATCACACAACTTAAAAAACCAATTTGAAAGTCACTCAGTCCTCAAATTTACATTAGAACTTAATATCTTACTTATTATAAAACGTAGATTGTGTGTGTGTCTGTAACGTTTATATATTGGATCGGATTTCCTACATTTTTCAACCGATTTCAACAAAACTTCACAGGACTACATAAAATTACCTTGTGGTGGTTCTAACAGCGCCAAAAATGGGAAAAATATAATTGTTTTTGCACAAAATCAATTTGAAAACACAATTAAGAGACATTGTGAAAATGGAAGGCGGACAACTCACATCAGATTGTTTGTGTGTGTGTGTGTGTGTAGGTTCCTTTAAATATGGGAGCAGATTTCCTATATTTTTCAGCCGATAAAACAAAACTTCACTTTTTTTTTTCTTTTTTGGCAGGTAGTGTTTCTTATTCTGTTGCACACTTTTTTCTTTATTTTTAACATTCAGAATGCTTTAAAAATTTCATTTACGAGACAATTGTTTATAAAATTCTATTCAATCAGGAGACTCATAACGATTGAAAACAATGTTTGGGTTTGACCAATTCCTAAAAAAAAAAAACTAATTAAGACATGCGTGTCTGTCAACCTTAAACAATAATCTTTGTCGATTTTATTTTTCAGTCTTTATGATGGTGGATACTTGATCTATCTCTTACTGTTATATCCCCGGGCAACGCCGGGATCTGCTGCTAGTAAATAATAAAATTCCATTCCTTGATGTATTTATTATTCCAGCACACATAAATTTACTACTTCTCTGTATAGGAAACCCACTAGCATTAACTCGTGTCTTCCTAATTATAATAGTGAATGCCCCCCAACAATATAAGTTAGGTATTATTATAAAAAAACTTAATCCAATGCACACAAATGATATCTTCTTCCAAAACCATATTCTATAAAGAATTACATAACATTAAACAAACACTTGTTAATAATGGATTTCCTAATTCCATCATTGATCAACAAATTAAAATGTATCTCAATAAACTTCTAACAAAATTGATAATATTAATAATAGTGTACGTAAAAAAAAAAACATAATACTATTAACTTATACTATTGTAACCAAATGAATAATAGATACAACATTCAAAAATATAATAGGTCAGAATGTTAAACCCATTAATAATAATAAGTTAAGCTCATCATATATTATAAAAACTTTAAAACTATTGACCTCATAGTCTCTAATAACCCTACAACCACACCACTAAATTCTCTACAAAAAACCAATGTAGTGTATCAGTTTACATACCTGTTCAGAGATTATATCTCTGATACTAATAATAAGCCCACTACAACCACGCTCTCCCGTAGACTTCAGATTTCTGAACTCAGTTCTATTAAACATTTCTTAGAAAACCATAGCCATGTACATATTAGACAGATATTAGTTGATATCACAACAATATTCATACATACACACAGTAAAAAGAATTTTCAGATATTGGAAGCCATCTACGTTAAAAACAAAGCAACCCACACTCAACAAAATTACATTTGAAACTAGGCACAACACATTATATTGCATCTAGACATATGGTCCTTTTGTTAATATTTTGGTCTCTCATATGGTACGACATCATAGGACTGCATCATGAATTTATGACCTGCGTCTGTTATTCCGCGACACTTATCGCATAGCAATCTTCTATGTCAACATAACAGAATATCATCTTTGATGGTGAACATCTTTCTTTAATTGTCAGTATAACCACTCTGAAAATGGCTCACATGAGCTGAAAGCTTAGATTAAAGAACAGCTTAATAAAAAATATCCAAATTTTGGACAATTTTTGACTTTATTTTCACCCAAAATTAAAGCAAATATATGGAGTTTAGAACAGCTCATAATCAAGCATGATGGGCATTCATTGTGTTATATTTAACAATATATGTTTAAATATATATATATATATATATATATATATATATATATATATATATATATATATATATATATATATATATTATATTCACCCTCAACTCTGGAGTTTTGTAGATAAAACATTTTGCAATCATTCTGTCCACTCATCAGGAAATATGAATATATTGAAGGAATTAATATTTAATAGTTTTTTATTTTGACATTATTTCTTATTACTATAAATGTTATATTTAGTGGGTACCCGTGTTTGAAAAGATTTTTTTTTTTTTAAAGAATATTTGATGTCTACTGGCTCAGGTTTTTTGAGAATCTTTAATAAAGAAAATGTGACCTTTGGCAGGGATTTGAACTGAGTCCACTTTATATAAGAGAAACCACTATATAACCTAATGTGCTTTTAAATTGCTCAGCCACTTAACATTTATAGTAATGAAAAATAATGTGGGATTAAAGATCCATTAATTCCTTCATAATGACTTGATTTGGAATACAACAAAATAGATTAGCAGTTATGGACTTTGAAAGAACTTAATGAGATGTGCTTTCCTTCATAAGAATAATTGAGTCTTGCTTTTGTTGTGAAGTCCTTCATGGGTGAGTAGTCTAAAAGCATGCCAGGTTATATGGTTGTTTTCCCTTCAATAAAGTAAACACTCAATTAAATCCTGCTGAAGGGCAATTTTCTTTATCAAAAACTCTTAGAAAACCCAGTTAGGTAGACAACAATTATTCTGCTTAAAAAAAAAACAAAGTTATCTACTCAAACCTATGTATCCATTAAATATTATGTTTATAATAATGAGAAATATATAATGTTATATTTATAGGATAAAAGTGCTCAATAATCAGGATAGAGCATGTGTAAATTTAGAAGTGTGGACACTGAATGGTTAAGTCTGTTTCATGCTTGATTACAATCTTTGCACCTAAAGATTGCATTCAAACATGAAACAGTTTCACCATTCTGTGTTGAACTCTGTCCACATTGTTTTTATATATATATATATATATATATATATATATACATATATATACACACACACACACGATTCAATCAAAAAGTAATGTTCATTCTTTAATTGCAACAGATCCAGTAGTAGAAGCACACAAAACCTATCAGAATAGTTCCAGATTGCCTTCTTCCCTTTTAAATCCCAGGTTTCCTCAATTTCTCTCCCATTTTGAATTCTCGTCTTATATTTTTCTCACATTTATATATCACTGAAATTCCTACCCCCCTCCATGGAGGTAAGTTGTTACCTGTTTGAAAATCAATTAAAATTTTGTATAAACAAAATTTTATTTATTTGATTCTGTTAGTATCTATGAAAGCATTATATGTATTTAAATTTGCTTCCTTTTTTTTTTTTTTTTCTTTGTTTTCTGCAGTACATTGCCAGCCTTGTGTTAAAACAGGTGCTGAAAGAGACACAGGCAAAAAGCGCAACTAGAATTTCAGGTAATTGTCTCTAGCTTCTGCTTATTTCTAAAGCAAACTTTCTGTTTGAAATGACCAAAGCTCAATGCTATATCTGCAGTGTTTTCCGTCCACTCTAGTTTTATTTGTCATCATAATTCTTCTTCAGAAAATATTCTTCATTAACAAGTTAGAAAAAAAACATCAAGATTTCAAACTTTATTGCAGAAACCAAACTTGAAATTATCTTTACAAAATCTGTCGTGACACAGCAATGAGAATGAATTCTCTTTATTGTTGTATATTGTTTTTTTTTTTTTTTTTTAATTTAGTTATGCTTGCATCACATGCTGTGCTCTTTGTCTATCCTTGGTGCCATATTTAGTTATATGTAATCTTGTTGTAATGGCTGTAAGACATGACTTTCTCCTTCCACCTACATTATACCCTCACAATTGTTCTTCGTTAACCATCACATTGAATTTGTGATGTTTAAGTGAACCATGTGAACTTGACTACCTCTCCTATTTTGGGGATCAACAAATTCAGTGCCCACCCCATTAATGGTTTCCATATACTGTTGGTGTCTATTGCTTGACCTACTAGTCAAATAATATAGGTAAAATGTGTGAGAGTCTTCCATCAAACTCGGAATAGATCATAAAAACCAATGATGAAATTAGTCTGTGAAACAATGGTGACAACACCTGGTCCCAAATTTTCAGACAAGGTCGTTATAACCATATTACCAAGTTGCCCCCCCTCCCCGTTTGTGATAATATGGGCACCCACATAGAAAATGGAGATGTGGTTTTATTTCAATCTCAAGTGTTTCTGTTTTATGGCCAGCAGATGGTTCTTTTTGAAGTCTAATTTTCTAGGTGGCATCCACTTTGACCTAAAGGGAATGGGTGAGAGGATTTTGGGGACCATGTGATAATAAATCCGATTATTTCCAGGTGCTGGTCTCTATTAATGGTCATGCTTGTAATCAGAGGAACTGTTCTAGACCACCTTAGGCAAGAGACAGACTTGTCTGCTGTGTAGTTCCAATATCACCACAATTCTTACTAGAATGTAGTATAAAGCAAAGATGAAATTCACTTTCATCTTTGCTTTATATTTTAATGGACAATTGACTAGTTTTTCTAAAAGAATTTATACATTCTTTATATTTCCATTTATTTTGCTGAAAAAACAATCATCTAATTTTGATTGTTTCTACTTCATTCATTTCTTCTCTTAAAAGTACAACGTATTCATTTTCTGGGTATTCTGCAATTAAATTTTTTTTTTTTTTTTTTTAACTATGCACTCGTTAATAATAACAAGGTCAATTGCAGTCAGGATCATACTCATTGTGAACTTCACAATCCTTTCATTAACTGCATATTGTACATGTTTCACCAGGGATACATATGTTTTCTTAAATTCAGAGTTGTCATTCTTTTAGACTGCTTACCAACTAAGAGTCTAGTCAGCTCTATTTAACCCATAGCTAGGAGGAAAGATGCATTCCTACCCTTTCCCCAAGTCTCTCTTGCACATAAGTTAGTATAACAAACTAAAATAAAATTTGAACTTGGCTCTGCAATTTCTCATTCTGAACTGCTATCTATTACACCCCACCCACACAGGATGTTCGTGTGGTGTAATGGATAGCCCCAAATATGGGTTAAATAGTAGAGCAGATTGGGTTTTTGGGTGGTGCATATTATGTGGCTAATGAAAGGATCATGGAGTTTACAACTGACAATGGCTTGTCTTGATTGATTATTAATGAATGCTCTGCAAGTCTCTCTTGCACATTAAAATAATTCATCTTTGTACATTAAATGTTCTTTTTCTTTTTTTAATTCCAGACAGTGGGAGCAGCCGATTACATATATCATACAAACCAAGCTTTAAGTGGGATTGCTGATAACCTTAAAAGAAATTCTCTTCACTCAGTAAAATTTTTTATTCTTTTCCCCGAATCCACCAAGAGTTGGCATCCTATCAGAATATCAATAAATATGACAATGGACAAGGAAACATTTCTGACACAAATCGTTTGGAAAATAACGAAGCAAAAAGATAAACCAATGCAATCTAATGCCACATATTTGGGTCTGGATAAATGTTTCTTCCTCTTTGCTTTTTCACTTGTCATGACAATTATACATCTTGTAAACATTACTCCCAACACGTTTTATTTTTTTATTTTCTGCTAATTCCCAAATTTTAAAAAGGAAATGCTGATGAGATTAAATACAATCTTTTCCTTTTCACCTTTTGTGTCTTCTGAACTTGTAGGAAACAAATGAGGGTAGAGTTTAGAATCCAATGCAAGAAAAAAAAGATTTTAACATTTTATATGTAGACTGAATAGTTGCAATTTAGTCTTGTGCCTCATATTTCTTATAACCACCTCCCAACCTTCCCTTTCTCTGCTTCATTTGTTCATCAGCGACTGCAACGTTTCTTCTATATATTTCCTTTTAAGTATCATTCATGTCCCCAACCAAATTCTATCTTTTTATTTTTTACTCCATCTCTACCTTCATTCTTTTCCTCTTTTCAGTTCTCCCTCTCTCTCCTTCTCCACTCTCTCCTACATTAAAATAAGACATTAAAATCAACAACATTGTAGTTACATGTCCAGTACTCAAAGCTTTTTGCATAAATAAGCAAAACTTTTAAGATGAAAGAAATTGAAATATTTCAATATTTTGTGTCACAAAAATTGAAATATTTCAAAGTTGTTTTTGTTGTTAACACAACATTTCACCTTTTCTTCAGCTCTATAGTAAATGAGAAAGAGAAAGCTTATTCAGAAAATAGTAAAAAAAAATAAAATAAACAACAAACAGAAATTAAACTTTTGTGATTCTAAACTTAATCAGTTGATAATAATTTCTACTCATTTCCTTGCCTTGTTAGCCATTTTGAAAGTATTTATTTTCATCTCACTCAAGCTTTCTTGTACAAAAAAGGAACTGCCGAAAAGTGCTGTCAATTACAAATCAAATATTTTTGAAAAAGGTTGAAAAAATTTTTTATTAAACTGAAATTACTTCTAGCCAACATTAGTTTCTCAGAATATTTTACCCACAAAATTCAAGGAATCTTGTAAAAACAAAGAATTTAAACATCGCTTAAAATTATTATAAATTGTGTAATGACATAGATAATTCCAAAAACTCAGTTGGTCATCGAGGCTCAAAAAAGTGCATTCCGCAGAAGAAAAATGGGAGATGCTGGAAAGAATTGGGGGGTGAGGGGGGTTGGTATGAGTGTCGCCTCTTAAATCTTAAACTAAAAGTAACTGTGTTTTACAATCTAATAAATTATTAGAAACCCCTTAGTGAAACCTAAGAAAAGTAATTTTTTTTTTTCATTTTCTGAAAAAAAACATTCTAAGATGCATATTTGCAATATGTCTCTTTTTGTCTTTGATTAGTGATAAAAATTATTTCCCGTGAGCCCACAAACACACACACAAATTTTCCAAATGTTTTCTTTTTCCATGCACTCGATTAGGAACATTGAAACATTAAGCCTTGTTGATCACTGTAGTTAATATTGACCTTCAAGCACTTTTCTTCGGTTGAGCAAAAGCCATATTTATTATCAGTATAAATCTGAAATAGCTGCTCACCCAGATCCTCAATAACACTAATGGAGTAAAAAACTTTAAGCCTACAATCTCAACAAACCTTAATAAATTCTGTACATCGTTCGTTGCTAAAACTCATTGCCATAAAAATGGATGCACAACAATTTTCTCTCATTGATTTACATTTCTTTTGAAATGGATTATTTTCATGAAAATAACAAAGACAATAGAAAATGTAGAAAAACGAATTGATTTCCTGTGATAAAAGAATTCCCTTTTGAAATTTGATATTTTTATGAGTTGTGCAAAATGTTTGGGAAAAAATCACAAAGATAAAAGAAGTGAAGTTTGGTGTTAAAACAATTGTTCTGTATTTTCTTTTGTTAATAATACAAAATCAGTCTGGAGTGGGGGGAGTTGCATAAGGAACTGAAACCAAAGCTGATTAGATTGCAGTCCTTTGTCTTTGAACTCATTGAAGTCCTTGGAAAAAAAATTACTGTTTGATTCTGTTTTATGTTGTATGGTTAGAAAGAAATTAATGCAACGTGTGTGTGTGTGTGTGTGTGTGACAGTGACATATATAATATGTATGTGTATGAATGTATACAAATATATATGTATACACATACACATATAAAAATCACCTGTAAATCAAGCAATTACATATTTATTTCCACTTTAAACAGTACCTCCATTTTAGGCCATTTAGAAAATAAGTATGTACTTTTTTGCATTGTCACATATATTGCAGTAATCAAGGACTCTAACATTACCATTATGTTAATTGGTCATCAGTATGCATCAAGGACATTCTGTTGGCATCCATGATTTACTTGTGAAATTTTAATTTCATTAAATGAAATTCAGTTTATTTTATGCTGCTTTATTTCCTTCATTAAAATGGCATCATAATTGTGATGTTTTTATTGTTGCTGTTATTGTATTGGCCCATCAGTCGAAGAGCAAACTATTTTTAATCAGTTTATTTTATTTGGTACAAGTGAGGTTTGACTCATCAAGAATCATTTTTGTTTCTTTTTTCCTGAAGGGAGTTTTTGTAGTGTGTGTATTGTTGCATTTTTGGTTATAAAGATTTCTTTGCTGTGATAAAATGTTGCTCCCTTGAAAAATTGTTCATTTTTTAATCATTCACTTCAGATTAAGTGCAGAAGAAAAAAATAAAACGAGTGGATTTTTTTTTCCCATTATTTTTTTAAATTCAGGATATAAAAATATATGTACATCATATTTTTGATGAAGACTGAACTTGATTCTCCACAATATTAGTTGAGAATAACTGAAAAAATGCAAATCATTTTCAACTTTTTTCCATTGTGGATACCCCTTAAAGTTAATTCAAGATGCTTAAATTGCATTGTGATCATTTCATTTTTTTATAAAGTGATGGATGTCTTAGACAAGGGAGCCTTTTTTTTTTCTTTTTGTTTAAACTTTTTGGCCTTTTTTTTTTTTTTTTTTTTTTTTTTGTGTGTGTTTTATTTTTTTTATTGTTATTTTCTTTGCCTCATCAAATAAATTCCTGCCTACCGAATTTCATTAAATAAATACAAAGAAACATCTTTCATTTTTCTTGGTTGAAATTATTTTTTAAATCTCAGGCCAATTACACGTCCAAAAACCAATTTGCTGCCTTTGGTTATCTCCCCCACCTATTTTCTTCACCATCCATTTTTAAAAATTATATTATTTTTAATCCTATTTTTAAATTTTATAAGAAGGTATTTGATGTTTTAATTGAACAAACTGTTTCTATGTTTGTATAATCAACAGAAATGTAAACTATGTGGTTAATAGAACTGTTTTTTGTTTTTCCTTTTATTATTATTATAGGCAGTAAAATGGATGCCTCCCTATTGGTCATTTTGCATACATGGTCATGATAAAAAGAGTTACTTAAAAATTAATTTAGTCATAAAACAAATGATGCTTTGATGATCCCAACTTTGACAAACATTTCTATTTCTAAATTTAAGTCATACATATAAATTTCATTTTTTTTTTCTTACAAATCATTTTCATTAATGTTTTTCACAAAAGTATTTGTGCCTTCTCCCTAATCAAATGGAGTTATTTATAAACACTTGTTAATCAAAGAACATTATAACAAAAAGAATTGAATGGGAGAAATTAATTTGCATTTTTCATAAAAATGGTTTGGGACATTTTTTGAAAAATTTTGAATTATTTAGGTTTCATAATCTTAACCCAACTTTGCAAATATTTTGCCTATTTTGGAACTTATTGATAAAGAATTTACTTTGATGGGATTCAACTACCACACAATCTAATTCATTGGCAAGTTTTCTCTACAAAAAATAAAAAATTTAAGAAAGATTTATCCAAGGTTTTATAGGAATGAGTAATTTTTAAAATCTAAATAATGTTGGTTTTATCAATATCTCCTCTAATTACTGGATTCATTTTTTCTTTACTTTTATTTATTTTTAAATCAATTTTTCATAGTTTCTCTTCCTTACTATAAAATAACAAATCATGCCATAAATAATTATATATAGAAAATCTCTGCATTTTTCTCCACCTTGCAATTCTTTCGATGTCTTCTTACATTTTGGGTTGAATATATAACAAGCTCCTCTGCCTCCCCCTTTTTTGCCTCCTATCTTTCTATGTAAAGCATAAATTCATTCATAGAAGGAAAAACTTTGTGCATTTTGGTCATCATTGTATGGAAGTTGTTGAGTGTGTTCTGTGTTTTTGGTCAAATTTGTTTTGACAAAGACAGATCTATCGCTTTCTTTTTAAGGTGATTCTCACATATTTTTCAAATGACAGCAGATTTGATACGAATTTAAGTCATTTATATGAAAGCATCACACTTTTTAAACCTTTGCAATTTAACTTATGAGAAAAACTGTTTCCTAAAATATTTTCTTTTCTGATAACATAAAACCCTGTCCTAATCTGGAAACTCCCACAAATTCTGATAAATTAGAAAATTTATTTGGTCATTTCATTAATTGATTTTCCTCATTGGACTAAAATATTTTTCACAAATGAACTAAGTAAAATTTGTCTATAAATTTATTTCCTTAAATCAAATTTTCAGAAAACAATTTTTAATATTTGTTTAAAATACTTTCACCTGCTGATATTTTTTTTTAAATGGATTTCATTTAATTTTAAGACATGGCACCCACTGAGCAGAAACCTTTGTCATAATAAGTTCATTGTACAAAATATTCTCAATACTCTCACAGGATATGCTTAATAGCATTGACTATTTGATTTATAATCAATCGCCTGTCATTCATCAACATGTGGTTAACACGATCAATGTTTTCCTTGGTGGTAGCAGTTGCTGGATGTCTATACCTTGGGTCATTTTCAAGAATCTTCATTCTCCTTCTAAATTCAGCTGCCACCTTTGGCATTGTTGGTAAAACCGGGTGTCATACCCTAATGTAGCAAATATGTCAGTAAAAATGTCCTTGAGGGCTAAGCCATTTTTCTGCAGATACTTGATAGCACTAAAATGCTAAATTTTGTCCATTTTTCAAGAGAAGTCACTACTAGTTATTTTTGAAGTCTTCTTTGAACAGTCAGATGTTAGTTTACCTGGAAAGAAACAATGCCGTTATTAATAAGAATTGAAATTAATGCATACAAGATTTCACAGCTTTTGCATACCTTGTTCATAGCTTATAAGCTTTTCAAGTCACTGTCATATTTACAGGTTTTCCTACTGTCTTGACTGAAGTGAATTGATGTTACTTTTGTTGACACCTCAGTTAAGGTTATTTAATATTTTAGAGAACCTTTGATCTGTTCATCATGTTTCCATGTGTATATAAAAGCAAATAGTTTTACCTTTTATAAATCCTTTCTCTCAGTTTACCAGCTTCTCTATTTTGCTGAAATTGAACGAATATTATTGTTCCATGATCCAAATTATTGTGCCCAAAAGACTTTTAAGATAAAATCTCAATCATTTTATTTTCTGATTTTTTTGTTAAATCAAA